ATGGTAGACTATACCATAATAAATTACAAAGGCTGGTTGAAAATTGCGGCCAGCGGGAGACTTACCTAAAGTAGTATGGTGGGCAACGTGACGGTAGCAATTTTCGCGTGTCGGTAGCATTTCTCTATTCATAAACTCGACATATGCCCTACTCTAAAATACCTATAACATCCAAATCGCTCGTACATTCCGTAGAGAAAGTCCTAAATGCACACCACTTTGTTATCATCTTTCCATCCGTCTTTTTTGAGGTCTTTCTGGGGTCTTTTATAATAACCGCTAACAATCCCTGAGTAGGGGACCTCTCTAGGCCTTTAAGAGACTGCATAGATATATTTATGAACGTTGATTCATGGCAGTTGGTTAACTGAACCCAAAAACTCACTTATGTACCGATGTACTGTGTAGATCGCTCCTGCTGGTGTGTACGATTACATATGTAGTTCCCTGTTTCAGAACATTCATAGTATTTGATTATCGTAGGGTATATATGATACATTTGGGCCCTTTCACTGTTTCCCTATGCAGTCTGCAGACCTCTATTTGGTTTCTCTTTCTCTCCTTCTCTCTCCTCTCGCAGGCAGATTGCCGTGTTGGCAGACTCTTTATTCCGCCTGCAGAGATCTTTTTTCTAGATTCTAGAGGATAAGATCTCTGTAGCTTTATTCGTATAAAGTTATTTAAAGAGCTTCACGCAGTAGCTAGATCTTCATCTTCCATCGATCTGACACATTCATCATCACGTTTTGGTTGATCACTTCTCTTCTTCCACGTATCTGATACGTGCATTTCGCAAAATGGCTCCGAAACCACCATCCCCCAGACTCTCTCATTACTCACCGAAATACCGTCATTAAGCTCAGCATCAGCTTCAAGTCTCGATACATTGGAGCCAATGCTGGCTTTATTTATTCCTCAAAGGCATAGCCACAATGCGGACAAAGAATTTTGTCCTAGCTTTTATACCACGGACTCGCTGACGCACGCAATTGAAAATTTTCAACTTGGAGGCGCGATCATGGTCTTTAGAGACCCGGACTTATGTAGCACCAAGCTTTAGGAGCTAAATTCCGAATCTTGGGATGCTTGGATCGCGAAGTGGAAGCATCCCCCACTGGAGATTGCGCAACAGCCAATCCCAGCGGAGTATGGCACCGCGGACTTCATCAAGGGCCCAATTTCTGGCGAGCCGCAAATCGGACGTGGGGTCCCTCCACAGTCAGAAGATGACCAGCTGGTTGCCTGCAGCTACAGAGGATTGAAGACGTCATCTGATTCGCTCGATATGCTAATCTTCGTCGCGCGGACGTAGCGAGCTTGGTTGGTTGGTTGTTTCTCTTTTGGTTTTTGACATTCGTTTATGTTTCAGAAAGTTGCTCCTTATTGCTATACAATGATGTCTGTCATTGCACCTTGCAGCTTTGGCACCTCTTGTATTAAACATAGGATCGTCCATTTGTATGAAATTGTTTCTTAAATCAGATTAATCGAAACTCAAGCCGTTGTCTTCCATTCTTCAAATCCAGGTGCAACTACCGAAGGCTCATGCGACCGGCCGTGCTGTTCGGCTTCTAACTCAGTTTCCCCATTGCCTACTGCCTTTCCCCGAGCGCCAGCACGGCCGCCAGCACGACTGCCAGCACGACTGCCAGCATGACCGCCAGCATGACCGCCCTTTGAAGCGATAGCGTGCTGTTTACTCGCATTATACAATTAACGAAAGATCTTTTTCCTGATCGATGTTGTGGCACTCACCTGTTTCTCTGAATCCATATTATGGAACCCACCCACGCCGGTAGCTTTCCCGCCTTTTTTCCCACCCTTGTGGCCTATTTCTGAAAGCTCTTGTTTAGGACGATTCGAAAAATTCCCAGGGTTAGGATGGTGTGGATGATTGGATGCTGTGGCGACACTGCAACGATGCCACAATCCAACATTGACAGACTGTGCGGATGGCAGCAGCCGAAGAAGCGGACGTGACATGATCCGAGTACTGATGGTAAAAGCCATCATGATATTGAGTGTTGAAGTTGATACCAGAACTTAGAAGTATATGCTGCTCCGCAAGAAGATATTGCTTCGCCACAAGGCTCGGTGGGCATGGCCTGCAACTTATGTAGTCTCTAGAGACGACTAGTTTGCCTCCATCAGCTCATCGAAGGCGATTATGGCTTGTCTATACGACATTCCCTCTGAAATATACTGGTTCATTTTCTATCTCTCGTGAGATGGATACATGTCATTCGTGTATGTCTGGGAAGTCCACATTGAGATACACTATGTTCCTGGTTGTTCGTTTCAATTTGCTGGAGGACTAATCCGGAATCAAAATTTGATGTCATTCTTCAGCTCTTCCCAATGAGCCGAGTTCAACGCCATGGATATAGGGATCAGTGTCCATGGTTCTAGTATTGAGGCGGTAATCCAGGCCCGTGTGAGGTGGATGCCCTAGAAGTCCCATACAATTCAAATTATATAGGTACTTAGCCTACTTTATCCCAAATCAATAGCCATAGTCCCTTGTAAGCGCTGCCCAGGTGGTAGCCTTACCCAAAAATGGATCTACCATTCAGCTTAGTCAGTGAGTATTTGGGTTTATCGTGCGCAGGTGTTCAGCCCGATCTACTACTTTGTGTTGCAGCGATATTCCCCGGCTGATCCTATACATGATTTAAAATTTGCCATTGCATAGATCTGGAGTTCATTAATGATTTACTTCTCTGTGGTCGTTTCTCTCGGACGCTAGGAGCTTGGAGGATCCCGAACCCCCCACAGCTACCAACCGCCAAAGCTCAAGCTTGTCGTCAGCTCCCACAAAGCGAAGTCCATGGAATAATTTCCTACAAATTACACATAGCTGGGTATTCAATATCTTGCTCTCTTCAAAATGCCACCGATCCGAGGTGGACTCGGCGAGCGTCCGCGGGTGATCTTGTACCACCAAACACTCATCCCAGGCGGGGGTCAGTATGTCTCCATGCTCCCGCTCCTCGAAAACAACACCGGAATAACACATGTTATTCTCGCCGCTTTTCACTTGAACGCTGCACCAGGGGACATCACTCTCAACGATGATCCACCAGACAACCCCAAATTCGACCCCCTATGGGCCGAAGTGCCAGTCGTGCAGCGGCAAGGCGTGAAAGTGATGGGCATGTTAGGCGGGGCCGCCCCGGGCACCTTCACGCGGCTTGACGGCAGCCGGATGGAATTTGAAGAATTTTATTATCCTTTCCTGACCATGATTCGCCGCCATGGCCTTGATGGAATTGATCTCGATGTGGAAGAGGCCATGTCTTTGCAAGGCATCGTCCGACTCATCGACCGGCTCAAGGCTGACCTGGGCGACGCATTCATCATTACCCTGGCCCCTGTGGCAGTTGCATTACTTGGTATTGGGAACTTATCAGGGTTCGACTACCGTGAACTCGAGCAGGCTCGTGCTTCTCAGATCAGCTGGTACAATACCCAGTTCTACAATGGCTGGGGTCTTGCTGAGGATCCACGGATGTACGCTACTATGGTTGCCCAGGGGTGGTCTCCGCGACGGATTGTATACGGCCTGTTGACAAACCCGGGTAATGGATCGCAGGGTTATGTGTCTCAGGAGAGGATGGGACCTGTTCTGGCAATGTTGATTGAGCAGTTTCCCAACTTTGGTGGCGTTATGGGTTGGGAGTATTACAATGCTCTGCCTGGGGGCATGGCGGAACCGTGGCAGTGGGCTGCGGAGATGACATTGACCATGGGTATGAAAGATCTTGTCGTGGCAGCTCGCCAGTTAATGTCGGCAGGGCCGATGGCGAGCAGTCTCAATGCTTTGTTCCAAGATATGCTAGATCAGGGACGCCAATGAAGCACAATGAATATCTAGCATTTCGGACAAATATGCTATACTTGAATTTCAACTGTTGTCAAGATTAGATGTGATGAATAGCGTTTTCAATGTGGTTTTGCCTGCATAAAGTCTGCACGTGAGTGTCCAGTTAACTGCAACGTGGCTTAGTCAGGTGACCAGACCCCCCTAGCTTGAGGTAGATCATAGGATCATCTTACAATCATCAACATGTACCATATTGTGTACGTATAGTTATCCATCCATGGGTATATGTACCCGTCAGTAGGCGGACATATATGATCTACGATTATACAAAGTATAAGTTCCCTTTCAGAAAAGAATGAATAAACATGAACAGAGAAGTAAAGGAGTACAAATGTCCGCTAGACCTAAAAAGGCAGATAAACATTGCTGCCTCAGGCGCCCCAATACAAACCGTCGCGAGATTCTTCAGTCTCCCCTTTTCTCCCCGCAATGTGGTTATTGTTATTTCTCTATTTACTCGGTTAATATTCTTTTTGGAGGTCTCTAGTGCAACCCGGCGGATTGTATTTGACCTCTAAATTGGCAGAGCTTATCGTTGCCGGTTGCCCTCCTCTTTGCGCATCCGCACGCGTGCGCAACCATGGCCAACACAGGCTATACCTCGCCATTTCCAACCTCGCATGACACCATTGGACAGTCAACATTGGTGACGCCTCTCTTCATGCCATCCTCTCCTCCCCAGCATCCTTCCAGCCCATTGAGATCTCCGTCCCCCGCCCAAACTCCTGCAACCGCCCAGACTCCTTCAACCGAGCGCGTCGCAGCGAAACGTAGCGACCACGGTCGTGACCAGGCTCGTGACTATGGATACCATTCCGATAATGAAATGCAACATCGCTCTCGCCCCGCCTCTCCTGGAAGCCCGACAGGCTCAGATCTCGATGCGCGTCTTGCCGATTACACCTTGGATTTCAGCAACTTCCCGAGCGGCCATTTTCCTATGGATGGGAACGACGAAACTCTACCCCCTTTCCATCAAGATGTAGATAAATTATCCGACGTTGGAGGCCCCGAGGACTTTACTGCGAATATGGAGAAATACCTGATGGGCGATGAGGATGGAGCAAACCACGAAGAGGAGGAGGACGAAGCTGAAGTAGACTACGGATCAGTACGACGATCTTTCCGGAAATCGAAGCAACCGGTCATCGAAGACGAAGCCGACTCTGGGGAGTACAGTGAATTCGGACCGCCAGTGGATATGTCGACTCCTTCACACTTGTTGCACCGGACTAGCGCTATCCGCAAAGATTCAACCCATCTGGAAGGTATTGAAGAATACCCCGACGATGACGAGGCCCAGGATTCTGCATCCCCTTCCGTCCGAAAATTGTCGGACGCCTCCAGTCATGCACCAGAGGAGCAGAATGAGGATCTTCACCAGCAGATCGCACGTATGGAACACGCCATGAATGAATGCGACAATCAATTGCTGAAAAATCGCAGTCGTATTCTCGAGGCTGTTTCTGCTAGTGAGCAGATCCGTCATCTCCAGACAGAATTGCAGCAGAAGAATGCTCTCTTGGACGAGATGAATGCCAAAAGTAGCAACGAGGCAATGCTACGCGAGCAAGTCCAGTCGCTTCAAAAGAAGAATGAGGAACATGAAAAGCTATTACGCCAGTCCAGCATGAACACAACGGATCTCAATCCTCTTTTGAACCAGATTCGTGAGATGCAACAGCAACTCCAAAACAGAGACGCACAGACTCCTTTGGACAAGGAGCGATTGGAGACAATTGCTCACCTGCGCCAGCAACTCAATATTTCCCAAGAGCAGGTGCGAAAGCGCGATGAAACTCTAGATGAGACATTCACTAAGCTCAAGGAAGTCACACGGGCTAAGGATGCACAAATACAGGAGAAGAACTCGGAGATTGATCAACTCCAAGCACAGATCGATGATTATGGACTGGAGAATGAGAAGCTCGAGTCGGAATTAGAGCGTGCGCATAATGATTTCCAGGTTCTCGAGGAACGCTATATCGACCTGGAAGTTAGAAGTCGACCTCTAGAGGAAAAGAACATCACACTGGAAGAAAATCTCAGCCGTGTTCAAACCCATATGGAAGCCCAGGAGAGTGCTCTCAAAGCTGCTGCTGCAGATCTGCCTGTCAGTGGCCACAGCACCTACAGCGAGATTCTCGATCTGATCAAAGATTTGGGCCCAGGGGATCCCACATCCCCACTTCACTCGCCATTGAAGGACAAGTTCGTGGACACCCAAGGCGTGCAGCAACCGCAACAGCCAGACATGCCAAGCATTGCAAGCCTTCAGCAAGAACTCCGGGAGTTATCCGCCGCCCAGAAAGCTGCAGATACCGAAGCAGCTCGTCTGCGTGATCAGGCGACTGAAGCTCAGACCCTCATCAAAACCATCGAAACCGAGAACTCGCGACTCTCCAACCGAGTAAGCGAGCTCACAACAGCCCTAACCAAGTCCCAGCACAATCTACTCCAGTCGCAAGAACAGCATGCTGAATCCCTCGAGACCATCGCCCGCTTGCAAGAAGACAGGGTCGTCGAACCTCCTAGTCCACCCCCTTCACCCCCAACAGCGCGCGAAGCTCTCAACCCAGAGCCAAGAGGACCGGACACCGCAGCCCTAGAGGCAAACCACCAAAGCCAACTCCGCAGCCTGCACACCGCACACTCAACAGCCGTCTCAACACTGCGCGCCTCGCACGCCGAGTCAATGCGCAAAATCCGCAACCTCCTCGTAGCCGCCGAGCAACGCGAAGCCGATTTACGCTCGGAACTTGCAACTCTCCGCGCCTCATCTGCAACCTCCGAAAACCACCTACGCAAGAGCTTCAAAATAGAGCTCCGCCGCCTGGAAGACATCATCGCCGGAAAGGACGAAACCGCCGCCGCGATGGACCAGCGCATCGCTCTGTCTGTGGACAAGCGCGAGCGCGAGTGGGAGCGGCGCATCGACCTCCTCCTCAAGGAGCGAGATCGCATGGCCAAGGCTTTGATGATGAGCTGGGGCGAGAATGAGCTGGGTCGGGGTCCGGGGTCTTTGGCTGAGAGTCACGGCAAAGAGAGCCGTCGTCGTGACCGAGACCGTGATGTGGAAGCCAAGAGCGGCCAGGCTTATCGCTACAAGTATGCTCAGAAGCAGAAGTCTAAAAGCACCGAGACTAGGGCTTAGATGGGTTTGTTTAATTTTGTGTTTATGTACCATATCAGGTTGGGGATTGCATTGTTTTTCTCTTGATTCATTTTCTAGCGGTCTGGTGTACTTCCTGGAATGGAATTTGGGATCTGAAATTGCATGTCTTTGCGGTGTGTTCTGCTGTCGCCTTGAGGCGGATTTTGCATCTTGCTGCTTTCGAGTGCAAAATCAATTTTTGTACTGATCTTTGTATCTTCGCTCCTTAATTATGTTTGAATATTCGTCTTTCTATTGTATAACAAATTCAATTTGGTATCAAAAAGCTAACTACAACACTAAAAGTAGGGAAGTAACCAAGTCACCCTGCTACATCTGGGCACACTATCTATCTCTATCCACTGATACAAATCATACAACATTACAAAGTAAACCAATAGAACTAAGAATGTCCGACCCGCAGACAAACAACGATTAATACTCTTTCCAACTTCACCATCCAAAGACCCCCTCAATAGAAGCCCAAACTCGTCCGATTCGCACCCCGGTATTTCGTCTGATCAATGGAATTCGACGGCAACTCAGAGTAAGCAGCCGAGACAGGCCTGTGATTATCCCCGGACGCATTGGGGTCAGTCGTCTCCAAGATACAGCTGAGCGGACCACTCGCGCCGGAAGGGAGACTGCTGCGCGGGCGACGCGTGCTGGGGTAGATTATTTCGACGTCGCTGCGGCGGGGGATCGGCGCCGGCATGGACCGGGCTGATGAGCCGTAGCGGCGCTGGTTGGCCCAGCGCGATGACTGGTGTCCGTACTGGCTGGTGCTGCTAGCGTGGGGGTTGGAGTGGGGGTTGTACTGGCTCTGCGAGTGGCGTGGGACGTAGTTTGGGTCGAAGTGGTAGGATGAGCTGCGGGAGGGATAGTGGATGATGTTCTGTTGGGGTCGCATGGTCCTGCGTCTTGAGTCTGGGTGTATTTTTGGACCGGGAGCTTGTCGGCGGGACTGGGAGTATGCTCGTGGTTGTGGTTGAGAAGGGGGGCGTGGGATGTAGTTTGGGTGGTGTGGGTGGTGGATTGAGCGCGTTTCCGGTATGGCGTATGCTGTTTGGGAGCGGCGCACTTTTGGTGGGGAGGACGGGGTTGTTGGGACTACTTCTGGGGCGTCGGCGGAGTTCATTGTCATTGTTCGGGTGTGGCCTTCCTGTGCTAGGTTGAATTTGGGCTGGGTGTTGGCAGGGCTTTGCGGGAGGGATGCTGAAGAGGCGTTTGGAGTGTTGCCGTTTGCGACAAGTTGGTAGGTTGTCGATTGAGGGATACCCTTAGGCATGCTATTTGGTGTCACAACCTGTTTCTCGACGTCTGATGCGGTGTTGGGGTCTGCGAGGGCTTGGATTTGAGGATCCTCTGATAGTGGAAGAGACAATGGGAAAGACTTTGGAAGAAGACGTCTGATAGAAGAGAGTGATGACTTTCCTCTCTTATGGCTGGTGTGTTCCTGGGGAATGGCCGGTAGTTTGGGGGCAAACGCATCAGAGAGAAGAGCGCGTAACTCGTTGGTTGTCTGCGTACTCAACATAGTAGTAGATGTGCTCGAGATGGGATAGAACTCGCTAGCCACGCTTTGTGATCCGGGTGAGATCCGATGTTGAGTGTCCTCTGGCGAAATCGTCGTTCCAGACATAATTTCTCCATATGTTGAACCGGATTCAGTGTTGACTCGGAGTTGAGGCCGCAGACGGACGGGAGCAGGATGCCGGACGCTGGGATGGCAGATGACTCTGTTGGCGATTGGGTCCGCAGACCAGAACTCCCCGGCTCCAGTTCCATCGTGTTGGCGGCAAAGATAGAGAATCTCGTTCTTGAGCGTTTCCTCACTATCCCAGCTATTGCCGGAGACGATACTGCCGTCTCTGAGAACCTTCTGGCGCTTGTAGATACCAAGAAGTGATACATCATATGGTCGATCGCAAAGCTCCCTTGCACAGTACATAGTGCACACAGTGACCCTGTAGGATTGTCAGTTCAAGTAAAGAAGCCAAGGAACGAGGATGCTGCATACATTGAAATCACAGCCACAATCACAGATGCTCGGTGGAAGGCACAGCTTTTACCAACTCTCCAGAAGGATCCGTCTGTCCCTTCCGGAAGACAGTACACCTGTTGTGCAGCGACCACTAGACCAGCTATACTTGTAGCTAGCCAAAGCATAAGATCCAAGCGCAGCACGTATGTGCATACATTATGCAGAATAGTCTTTTGGGTTCCAAATCCACCAATGTTGTTGTATTGCCAAGCAACCAGGCTTTGAAGGCTGACAAGCGGTACCGAGAGAAAAGACTGAATAAGAGTCAGCGAGACGATATAATAACCAAAGATTCAAGCCAAACATACTGCGATAAGTGCAAGTACAACACTCAGAGTCATTTTCGAGTCAACCTGGCCATTACCGTAAAGGTAGAGCACGAGCACGCATTCCAATATAGACTCGAGGAGTAGCAAGTATAGCGCAATAAATATCACAAGCTTCGTCCATGTTCCCTCCTTTCGTGGTGTAGGTGAAAATCCAGAAGCCATGATTGCGATATCTCGAGAGGATCAAGAGAAGAACGACTGTCTGTCGCCCTCTTAAACTGCCTGCTCGGAAGCCGGGTAGGTAAGAATGTGAGTGTGTAGTAGGTAACGGACAGGCGTGTTGAATGCCCCGTGTACAAATCGAACCCAGTTGTAGTCGCACTCCAAGTTCATCAATTGGATGCAAATGATAGCATATACATAAGGTTGGTACCCAGAGGAGTGTTGAAGGGCTAAAGAGTACTTTAATGAAGGGTTCTTAGCCCTGGAGCGCGTCGACGCGAATATAGCGTGGAGGGGTGGAATGTAGCAGCCGAGGGGCGTGCGTCGAAAGAATCCAAGGCATTGAGCATGACCCTCTCTTTAAAGGGTATTCCATCTTAGCTTGATAGCTTGGAATGCTGAGGACTTGCTAGTGCCAGGGATGTATTGAGGGTTTGACTGTTAGTAGCCGTATCCCTGTGGATTTGTCTGTACAGATGTCAGTTCGTTTCAGTCCCTGAGAATGGAAGATTTGAAGAAATTTCGATCTTCTAAGAATTCATTGTAATGATTCTCCGTGCATCGAAGGGTTGTCCTTGGAGGTGAAAGTAGGATGAAGTCGATCGTGCCCTGGATCCCTCGATGACGTGGTCAACAACTCCGACCACCAACAATTGCAACAAGTTATTTGAATACTGGAATCAAGCTTGCACACTTTCAAAAAGAATCTCTGTTTTCCTACTTTCAATTCTGTGGTAAACGGTTATCGCATCGTCTGCTCCCAATGTTCCGAATCTGCGCACGGCACGTGATCAGAGGGGTTGACCTTGCCAGTAAGGACCAGACGAACCTGGATTCATGGACAATCTGACGGATTTGACAGGCACCTGAATGAAGTGTTTCTGATAGTTTCACGTTGTGGAATGCGCTTCTGATAAACTGCTCATCCTAGCCATAACCCCAATGCGCGGTGTTTTTATACACAAATGACAAATCCACCGAAAGGCACCCGTCATATAATTCCCCAATTAAGTCTTGGACAGAGATTGTCTATTATGGAGAGTTCGGGTTTGATATTCGCTTAGAAGTTTATGAACTATAGTCGGCTTAATGAACTCAGTCGTTATATATAACAATACTGAATGTTTACCGAAGTATCCATCGAGTCAGTCAAACATCAAATGCTATACCACAAGAGGCCCAAAGAGATAACTGACCTATCACTGACTGCTTTTCGATCGTTTAGGGTTATATCCCAGAGAATGGAGTCAGGAGAGGGGATTTTCCCTACATATAGGAACTATGTGGTCTGAACTATGCGGTCTTACCTGATATTCTCCTCAGGTAGCCCCAAAGCTCAGTTAGCTACAACTATTGGAAGGCACGGGTTGTTCCTGGGTTTCTATCTGAGGAAGAAACAATAGCTAAAGCGATTATCAATGGAAAGGTCAACCCAGACATTATAACCTCCAACTCCCATGGCTCAGCGCCCTACTCTTTGGTGTCTCATACACTGAGCGAGGCGCATCCTATGCCAATGAGGAAAATGTCCGGCTAACTGCTATTGAAGAACCTCTGCGGCCTTTTTTTTTATTTCCCCTTGGGGATCATTTTGAAGCTATTCACACTTCAGACCCACCATACCCCCACTGTAACCCCCACCCCGATTTTTGTCTGATAAACACCGACTTTAGAAATTTTGGAAAATTGCATAGATTGCAAAATCGCTATCATGGCAATTGGCTTCAGGCATTGTACAAAGTTATATCAGACTAGACTGTTTTTCCTAATACACCCACCGCACATCATGCACCGTTTAATGAGGATTTACCCAATAAGCCCGTCCTTTCTTTGTCTCTTTGATTTTGAAAATTACAAGGGAAGAATGAACATGTATGTAAATGATCTAGAATAAAGGGAATATAGGAAATTATGACTGCCTAGGTGATTTTCCCACATACACCTGCAGGGGGGCAAGGACACACCTCCCTTGGAACGTCTTTATTCACCATTCCAAACAGTTCCTTCAACTCCATCCCTCTCACTTTTTGCTTTTGAAAATAAAATCATATACGTTCAGATACATCATGGGTATATGCCTATCAATGTGACAGATGTCCCGAGGTCTCATATTCATGATATCGTCAAGTACTTATCTCGATCCCATCAACCATAGCATGAAGTTCATACAAACCTGGGCGTCCCTCGGGCCTATTACGAGTGCAAGCCTCCACAACGGCAGCTAGAGGGGCGGGGACATGCCATTCCACCGCGTTCGTAAACGGGACGTTCCCGTATATCATGCCTTTGATGAGATAACCAAGGTCATAGATATCCGACTTCTCAGTCCAGCCAGAATCTAACACCGGCTCGCGAGAAACCTCGGGTGCTAGGCGATTTCCCCAACGACTCTCGAGATCACAAATAAGCAGGCGAGACATGTCAGAGGAGAAGACGATATTGTCGATGCGGAGATCACGATGGATGATCCCAAGTGAATGGAGCATCCTTAGCCCGGAGATTATCTGTAGAATCCAGTCTTTGTAGGTGGCGAGAGGATAAATATTCGCCAAGACGTAGCGAGGTTTAAATTTCTCAAACACCAGCTCCCCATCTGGCGACCTTCCCAGTAATTGGATGATGTGGGATGATTTCGGCACCCCTGGGCAGGATCCACCTTGGCATTTAAGCAGATTCTTGATCTCACTCTTGTATTTGCCTTCCTTGACAAAATGCTTGTTGGAATCGACTTCAACTATTGGCAGCAAGGCAAGAATCGTATCAAGTTCCTCGGAGTCATCATCGTGCTCTGGGAGTGGTGGTACATTCTTGAGCGGACGTATTTGGTCACCAATAATTTCATAGTCGCCATTGTCAACTGAAACGGGCAAGTTTTGGTCTAGGCGAAGGATATCGCCAGAGATGGTGCCAGGTATATCACCTAGCCGGATACACTGGCCCTCATACCAATACGTGTAGCAGAACACACCATCAACAGTTTCCAAACTGAGGTCGATTATCTGTCGGTCACCACCGAAACCCAGGTTGGACCGGTCTTTTTTCTCCTCGTAATCAGCTCTCAGCCGCTGAATTTCTTGAGTGAAAATATCGGGTGATTGGCTCATCGTTGCTAGGTCGTACTCTTTGCTTAATATATCATATTTATGGTAGCGACGGGTTTTGAGCTGAAATAGGAAAGTAGACTTGCGGGTTTTGTACAAAGAGAAAATACATCAGGCATCGCGGGGTAAGTACACAGACTGCCTTTAATGGAAAAGCGGTGATAATCGGCGGTCTGTCAAGGTCTTGGCTTTCATCCGAGTTGGTTTGCAAAGTTACTGCAATAGTATGAAAGGTGGTCTGCGGTAGTAGTCATATAATCATTTTCGAATTTTGTCTATTGATTCCAATAAAAGCCAGAACTAATTTATAGCACAGCAATGCACTCAATCTCGACATCAGTGTTGAGAGGGAGCGTCTTGACCGCAACACACCTGCAAAGTATATACTTTAGCAACAAATCAAACCATAAAACATACAGAGTCGCACAGCTGTATGCGCAAGCGCAAGCATCACGCAGAGTACAAAAATGGAGGGGCAAAGCATGACTCCAAATGACTCCAACGCAAGGGATTCAGGAGCGGGGTAAGAACTCACGTCCGGCAGGGCTTCACATCACCCCAGTATTGCATGTACACGGAGTTCATTTCGGCGAAATCATCCATGTTGGATAGGAACACATTGACCTTGACCACCTTGGTGATGTCGGTGCCGGCCTCTTCGAGGATGTGGGTCAGGTTCTTAATGCATTGGTGCTGTTAGAGAATAGGGTGTTAGCAGGTTGAATCGGGTCAATTGATATTGTTGGATCTCACAGTGTGAGCCTTGATATCGCCATCAATCAGCTTGCCAGTGACGGCGTCCATGGGGACAGCGCCGGAGCAGTAGACGACGCCATTGGCGACGATGGCCTGGGAGTAGATCCCGGGGAGGGGCTTGGGGGCCTTGTCGGTAAGGACGGCGGTCTTGGAGGACATTGTGAAAGTCTGTGAGAGGTGAAGGGAGTATGAGTTAGGGGTGAGTCAATTGAGAAAAGATGGAAAGAAGTAGGAAGTTGCCCCCCCTTGCGCGTGGGAGGTCCTTTTATCAACGGGGGGCAACATCCGGAGCTACAGCTACATCCCACGTTAGCCGAGATTAAAACGTAACAAGTGGCTCCGTAGTGGCCGATAAGACCGATCCGAGGAACATGAAGTGGCCCGTTATGGACGTTAAGAGGGGCGCAGTGGATACATGCAGGTTGCACTCGATACTAAATAAAAGAGACGGCGGGCAGTTGTCCCTGAGATGGCACTGGCCCACCGCGATAGGCCGTTGATCCTTTCCCAAAGCGGAATGCAATCGGCTTATCAGCTTATCAGCGTGTCCCCGCATTGTTCTCCCCACTCTGCGCGTGGGGGTGCACTTTCCAAGTCCCTATTTGAACACCTCAAAGACACTGAATGCCGACGATCTTTGTGTTTTATTTTTCTAAATAACTGCCAAAATGACTGCCGGCATTACTGAACCACCTTACCCGCTCCACGAGTCTGTCAAAGACTTGTTGCACCCGGAGTATGTCGCATTCTATAACGAGCATGTCATCAATAACCAGCAAGTGCACCTTCGGCCCGTGGAAGCGTCACGGACAAGTGGTGTCTTGATTCCTGGTGCAGGTCCTATGCTGGAGGTTGGCAAGACTCAAGACATTACTGTTCAGCGGCGAGCTACCGAGGGCCCACCAGTGCCCATCCGCTGCTTTACTCCCAAGGGCGAAGCGCCTCCTGGTGGATGGCCGGTGATGTTGTATTTCCACGGTGGTGGCTGGGTGCTGGGTAACATCGACACGGAAAATGTGGTGTGCTCGAATCTCTGTGTACGAGGCAACTGCGTCGTGATTACAGTGGACTACCGGTAAGCTACCTAATCACGCCATGCATACATAACCTTGAGAAATTTCGGCCTAATTTATATTCTTTCTCCTAGTCTTGCACCCGAAAACCGTTGGCCGGCCGCAGTCCATGACTGTTGGGAAGTCTTCCTCTGGTTGATTGCCGACGGCCCCGCCGCACTCCCAGTGGACGTATCCAAACTCGCAACCGGCGGCTCCTCCGCGGGCGGAAACCTTGCCGCGATTATCACGCACAAGGCACTGACTCTGTCACCGCCTGTTCACTTCCTCGCTCAGCTGCTCTCGGTTCCCGTGACAGACAACACTGCCACAGTAGAGAACAACGAGTCATATCGTCGATACGAATGGACCCCCGCACTCCCCGCACTTAAGATGTACTGGTACCGCGACCACTATGTCCCCAACGACGCGGACCGCACCCACCCAGAATCGAGCCCACTGTTCTGGGATGGAGATTACTCGCAATTGCCGCCTGCGCTGGTTATGGTTGGCGAGCTGGATGTGCTGCGCTCGGAAGGCGAGCAGTATGCGGAGAAGTTGCAGAAGGCCGGTGTACCTGTCGACTTGCAGGTCATGCCGGGTATGCCACATCCGTTCTTGGCTATGGATGGGGCATTGTCTGAGGGCAAGAGGTGTATCACTCTGATGTGTGATGCGCTCCAAAAGGCCTTCTGGGGCCGTTAGAATGTTTTAATATAGATATCCTACTGAATATATTCGAGATTAGCATTTTGAGGGTAAAAGCAAGAGAGCGACATATATCTTTCTATGTACGGTTGCCTCGGGCACCAATTACGTCCTGAGGTTCTCATTTTGTTTGTCTTCTTTGTATTTAATTCTGACTCTTTTCCTTCGCTCACTTCCTTCTTCATTCTCTTGTCCCCGTCTTTGCTTTATAATGTTAGCTCTGGGGAGTTATTTCTCATCTCCCTTATCCTATCCTCTTATAAGCACATCCTCTGGCTGATGTCAAAAGCAATCTTTTTATTTCTTTTTCCTTTCTTTAATTACTACGATATATTGGATGGCACTTGATAGATCTTTGCAAGCATCAGCACCTGAAAAGAAGGTTACCGTCGAGAGCTAGCTCATCATTGACGCTTTCAACACTTTCAATGCTTTCAATGCTCTCAACGTGAGCTCGCCGTCGCCTCAATTCCTTGCTACGCGCAAAGTTCACCAACGCACTATTTATCTCTGCACAACATCTCCTTCCAACCTCTACCATCTACACGGTCGTTCATCTTCCATTAACCCTCCACTCCATTCTTTTGTCGGTTCGACTGCCAGTCATTATCTTTACTATCATCATTGAAATCTGGGAAGAAGATTACAAAATTCATTTGAGCAAAGACGGTTCGCCAGGTTCCCACGCAGTCGATGATCGGGGTTCGACTGGTCACAGCGTTCAACAACTTGCAGATGAAACAGCTCCTTCTACGCCTCATGTATGATTTCTTTCTCATCGGAGGAGATTCGTTATCGTATATTTAAACTCCCAACTATCTTCATTCTTCATATGTTCTCGCCCATATATACGATCACGATTTTGTCAATGTCTCCAACATGGAAGTCCTGCGGCAACAAGCCCACGGCTCGACACAAAATGCCACTCCTGGAGAGATTTCTGCAACAGATGAGCTGCATCAACGAACAAGAATCATCGAATTTATAGTGGGGCTGTGTTGGATGCGTGGTCATGTGCCCAGCATATGACCCCGACAATACACTCGTTTTGTCCTCTCCATCTTCCTTCAGAACCCTTCTTCATATCTCCAAGGGATTTGGTGGTCCTGCAAAGATATATCGATGCAAATGTCAAAGCAGCATTCTCCGCGCGCGCGATCATGTGCAACAGGAACTTGGTGCGTATGCACCGAGCTCTTGTTGGTTCCTGCTGAATCCCTTGCTAGTCATCACACTATCTACGGCTGTGGAGCTTCTGGGAGGTGGAGAATGGATATTCAAATACGATGACGAGAACCGTGTCGCTGGCGTTGCTATAGCTAAGCTGAAGCCTTGGGTGATGTCAATGGACTGCACATACAAGACGAATCGCTATGATTCACAGCTCTATTGCTATTGTCGGCTTTGCTGCTACTGGATCAAGCTTCGTCTTGGATTTGCCTTTTCGATGATGAAAAGGATCTGCGAAGTGATTCTAATTTGTCTGCTGAAGCTATGAATTCCTGAATCTCGAAGATTCCTGTGCAATTGTTACCGATAAAGAACAAACAACAATGGCTGCTTCTCGATGGCCCTTTCGGGTAAATATATTATGATATGGACACATGTTGACGCATAGAATTTTGAACCCGTTTACTGTCGATTCTATTGTTCTTTCTATGGCATGTGAGTTGAAACTTTCCGTTTCATGCCACGTAACTTCGAAATGGAAGTCAAATGATTGCCAGTAATGTCAAAGTTTCCTCAGAGTGTATTAAATTTAGTAGTATTGACTTCCTTCCCTATTATGATCCCATGATCGCACCCATTCTGGAAGGTGGTACTGAAATTTCAGGCAGGCCACCGGGGGGGGGGGGTACATATAGTCATTCCCAAGGCTAAATTTAGTAGGATAGTAAAAATAAATTCCTCAAGGACCAACTCGTCTTGATTCAATGATATGCTCCTCGTCGTAGAGACCATGGTAGGAAATAAATGAAGTGTGCTAATATCCTCTCAAAAGGTGGGAGCAAGAACACATATTCACGTCCAAAGCGCCATTTTCCTAATGAGTCTCAGACCAAAGTTGTCGCCATTCGACTTTAGGACCAGTTCGGTGCTCATGCCACAATTTGGAAATGAGATTGATAATATGCATATTCTCCGAGGACCCAGAGATCAAATATTCAGACTGGCCAGTAGTACATCAGGTGTGCCCGATCAGGGACTTTTGTCAGACTAGGGTATGGCTACGGGGTAACAAGCTACTCGTGTTGCGGGGCGACGTTGACCATCTTGGAGGCCAAGCCGTGGAGGCCAAGCCGTGGAGGCCAAGCCGTGGAGGTCCACACGGTACCGACGGCATTCCGTTGCTTAACTTAAGCTAGGCCTAAGATAGCAGTTTCCGGTGATTTTCCGGTGATGGTTCTTTAGGATGTTAGACTCGATTAACGCTTTCAAGTGAGCAAAATACTACCACGGTCAGTCAGTTTAGATATAGTACTTTTTATAGGTTTGAGATATATAGGATATGGATTATGGTAGCATCTCCACGGCCTTGCATTACATAGTGAAAGAGGGGTCCATGTATTGCCAACTAGAAACTCCTTGTGGGGCAGCTGAGCTTTTTCGATCTATGAACCGGGATTTGGGAGAGCCTCTTAGCGCTACGCTAGCCCTAATTGGTCTCGAATATCGCTAAGCCATGAATCCGATGATACTAAACTATGTCTATGCTAAGAACCGCATGGATAGTACCTTTGTTGATACAGAACGACTAGTGAACTACTGGGCGTCAGCAACCTATTTGATTCTGTTGGATTTAGTGTCTCCGATTCCCAGACTTATTCAGTCTCGAACACGGTCACCTGCAATGGTGTTCCCGCTGAACGTGGAGACATCTGTGTTCTTTTCTACCAGGCCGTCACGGCTTTCACAGTCAACGTGAAAGAAGTCAATTCTTGTGCCTGTGGAGGTGGCACCACTATTATAGAACGTGGCGAAGCTATTGTATACGCGCCCAACCCAAATCAAGTTGGCAGCGTTGCCGGACGAGGGATCAATGTTACTAATCATGGTGTTCAGCAGTGTGTTGGAGACTCTGACAGAAAACTGCAATACAACTGTGGACCTGCTGGTGGTCCTAAATGGTGGGACGGTAGAGGGGAGGGTCCGTGGATAGCTGACTACGTCAATCTACGTGCACCTGCTGGCTGTGCTATTCCTATCGAGGCCAATAGGTATAAGGACTGAATGATTTGAGGTATGGTGAGAGTGGTGATGGTAATGCATATTGAAGGCATGTTCTTGTATCTATAGGTCGTTTAACGATGTTCTACAATACCTGTAATTCCAGTCATTAATATTGGATGATCCAATACACTTGCGGCCGAGTATCATAAATTAAAAGATTGTTTCAAGGTTCCAGGTCAACAAAAGGCGGCTCAAGGACATCCGTTGGAGTGTCAATGTGAGCCCAAAGTCACTTGACCTTCTCAGAGAATATTTTACATGCCATCATTCAAAAACAGCAGATTACGGGAAAATGAAGCTTCGATTTACCATATTTTTGTATAAAAGTGGCAAATTGATGAAGTCCGGAGTAAGGAATATACTAGAGTAAAGGTATTCGGCAGTAAACCCAGCTATTGCTTGAACCTGGCTTCGTTATCAATAGGTTTCGCTTTAGTTCCTAGCAACTTAATGTCTCTTCATTAGATACGAGAACTTTGTGATGCCCGAGGACACCTGTTGGCCGCGGCTCCGCGGCTAAGATAAGACGAAAGAGGAGAAAGTACCCTAACTCACCAATGAGGGGAACAAGAAACTTAAAGAGGCCGTGAGTCCTCAAAAAGAGATAAGTACTCAGAATCGTCAGAATAGTCATACTTGTCAGTAGTATATCCCCGTCATGGCCCCTGGAATCACCACAGAAGAGTCCACAGTCACAATCAGGCCCGCGAAGACTGATAATCCTATCTTGTATAATGATGTCAATCAACAAGAACTTCAAGCCAAAGCAGCAAAGTACCTCCTCAACTATGGAACCAAATTCAACAAAGACGTGATCTGTGGCAGCAGAGGGCTCTACGTGTACACAGCCTCCGGACAGAAAGTGTTGGACTTCACATCCGGCCAAATGTCCTGCCTGCTCGGCCACGGGCACCCAGAAATCGTACAGACAATCACCGACCACGCAGCCTCCCTAGACCACCTCTTCTCAGGAATGGTATCACCTCCAGTGATCAGCCTAGGCGAACGTCTCTGCGACCTGCTGCCACCCGGCCTCGACAAAGCCTTCTTCCTCTCCACCGGCGGCGAGAGCAACGAAGCAGCGATAAAGATGGCTAAGGTATACACCGGAAAGTTCGAGATCGTCGGACTAGGCGGTAGTTGGCATGGCGTGACCGCGCAAGCACTGGGCACACAATACCACTTCGGTCGCAGAGGTCAAGGTCCCCTGATGCCGGGAATGCTGATGCTCCCACCGCCCAACGCATACCGCTCCATCTTTCGCAACGCCGACGGATCCTACGACTGGCAAGCCGAGATGGAATACGGCTGGCGCATGATCGATATGCAATCGTGCGGATCGCTGGCGGCTTGTATCGTGGAGTGTATCCAGTCGTCGGCTGGCATGCATGTCCTACCACCGGGGTACCTCAAGGCTCTAAAGCGGGAGTGCGAGAAGCGTGGAATGCTTTTGATCGTCGACGAAGCGCAGACGGGAATCGGCCGGTGCGGCGATCTTGTTGCTATCAACCACGAGGAAGTCGTTCCTGATATCCTCACCCTTAGCAAGACGCTAGGGAATGGCCTGCCGCTCAGCGCTGTCGTTACGAGTGCTGAGATCGAGCGCGTGTGCGTCGAGCGGGACTTCTGCTTCTACACGACCCATGTTAATGATCCACTGCCTACTGCTGTGGGCGATAAAGTTCTTGAGATTGTGGTGCGTGATAGGCTGGTTGAGCACTCTCGTGCTATGGGGAAGGTACTCCATGAGCGGCTAAATGTACTGAAGGACAAGTACGGCTGTATCGGAGATGTCCGTGGGCGCGGACTTATGGCAGGGGTTGAGATTGTTGAGGACCGTCAGACCAAGAACCCTGCGCTGGCTTTGGGTAAGGCGATTGGGGATCGGGCTTATGAGTTAGGCTTGTGGGCCAATCTCAGTAGCCATCCTAGCTTTGGGGGTGCCTTTCGCATCGCCCCGCCAATCACTATCACTGAGGACCAGCTGCTTAGAGGTTTGGAGATATTGGAAGAGGCATTTGCAACCACCCCTGGGACTATGCCTGTGTGATGAAGCGTAATTGCTACATGTTTACTTTTTTCATGATATTGCTTTTACTTCTTCTCTCCATTAACTAGCGTATTTCGAATTGAAGCTTTGCCGCTACGAAGAGATCTAAAAATAGAGATAAGAAAATTACTAAAAAGACATAGTGATGAGATGCTCTTTGTACTACGCCCCATACTTATACAAAGTGTTATTCCCCATTTGGGCTTCGACCAATGCACTTTACTTTTCGACTTCCACTTCAACCAGCAGCCTTTCCGTTCAAATCTCATCTTTTCACAACTTTCAACACGTATGGCAATGTTCAGGCCAACCGGAAGTCCTAATGACAATCGGATAGCACCGTTTGGGTGTTCTTACTGACGATCACTGGTTTTTCCTTTTTTCAACTGGGCAAAGAAGGGAGATCGTCTATTGTAGTCTATCAAGTTAGCCGCGATAGCTGGACGAACACCACCAAAATACTGGCATAAATGCTATTACAGGGGCACAGGACCCTTACAGTCAAGTGATTGAAAGAATCTATCTGCGAGGTAATCCAAGGACAGAACGATTATTCATTTGGCTTTATCCATGGATCATATAACCGTGGAATAATGAATTCAGGGGTTAGAAATTTTTGTACAACCAATGTTACTACATACGGAGTGTGACTTTCCACATTTCTACTCAAAATCAATAGTCTCTTCAAAATGGATCGAACCAAGAAGCTGATCGTAAAATCGTCGAACTTTAGCGACGTGGCTAGTCACAGGGCCAGACTCAGATTGGATTAGCGGAAAGTAAATAAATTGCAGCTGACAAGCGTAACCCTAAGAACCTCCACTGTTTGAGATCATGTTGAATAAATGTTACTTGATCACTGCCAATGGGAAACATGCAATTTGGGATCAGATCGATCGGTCCCTGTTTCGTCATTGATGTTTCATCTCATGTCCATGGAAATCCAGACACTATGACGGGGCTTTGTTCTAACCTTCTGGATACACACCTTTATCGTGGCTGGCTACTGGATGGATTATAATTGCGATCATCTAACTGTCAGCCTATGAGAATATGTTATGAGACCCACCGTCAATGTGTTCTTTGTTAGTGGAGATAATTCTAGGCCATTATTGGCTCTGGATCCGCGGTTGATGCATAGCAACCATATCTTCAGCCGTGCCATCACAGCACTGATGTGTTGTTGGTGATGCGACATTGAGTATTTGGGGATATCGGGTTGACCGTCATATCGACCAACAGCCACAAATTCGACCTCATCCAGGAACAGCGATACTAAACATGGAACCAGGACGGGTACCTCGAAAATAAAGTTGACTCATTGGAAAAGGCCATGTGGAGAAAGCGGAACCAAGATCTCATTTGTAGAACCCCAATATTGACCCGCCTGTCTAACGCGATTGAGGCTTCAGAATGTGCTTATCTGGGATGATCTTGCGCGTAAACTTGATAAACGGGAATTCCCAAGCTCATAACAAGATTTTCAAGGGTTTTTCTCCACAGCCTTAACCCTGGTCAATCTGATCGGCAATTTATATATGAGATACACCCTTTCACCCACTCTCGACAATCTGCGTCCACTCTTACAATGCGGACTGGTCTATCCGCTACTCAGATCGTAGGCGCCAGCCTAGTCGCAAGCCACTTCGCGAACGCATTATCGCCGCGCACGGAAATCGACGATTCTTATGACTTTGTGATTGTGGGAGGAGGTCAAGCTGGACTCGTGTTGGGCGCTCGTCTTTCGGAGGATAAGAACCATACCGTACTCGTTCTTGAGTCGGGCGGGAATGGAGATGATTATCGGAAGCGCATAGGTGCGTTTAATTATGACCCCGCGGGGTTTGCGATTTCTAATGCTCGTACAGATACACCGGCATATGCTTATTTCGATTCATTATGGACGACTCCTTTGAATTGGGACTTTTACACTGTTGCGCAGACTAATGCAGACGACCGTGAGATTGAGTGGCCTCGTGGGAAGGTCCTTGGAGGTATGTACAAGCTTGATATCCCAAAGAATAAGCAACATAAGATTAACACGGAGATATGATATAGGCAGCTCCGCCATCAATGGACTATACATGACCCGTCCGGGTGAAGACGAAATCAATGCTTGGAAAGACATGCTCGGTGATATGGACGGAGCCGATAACTGGTCGTGGGACTCATTCTACGCTGCTATGAAAAAAAGCGAGACTTTCTCTCCCCCGGTGGATGATGTAGTTCAAGAGGCTGGAATCGTCTGGAATGCATCAAATCATGGCACCGGCGGGCCGATCCATACATCATACCCGGACTAGTATGCTGAATCCTGTTCTCTGGAATTGATCGATAAGGCTAACATTCCTAGCACATTCCCCGAAGTGGGCTACTGGTTAACGTCACTAGCGAACATGGGGATAGGTATTTCTGCCAATATGTACGGAGGTGAGAACCTGGGCGCGGACGTCTCAACCTCATGCATCAACCCTTCGAATTGGACGCGCTCCTACAGTCGTTCTGGGTATCTCGATCCGCTTCCAGACCGGGATAACTACGATGTATTGGCGAATGCGCATGTGACTCGGCTTGTTTTCGACAATTCTACTTCTTCCGACAAAACAGCGAGTGCTGTTGAGTACACGACTGATGGCGGAGCAACGAAACTGAAGGTCAAGGTTAACAAGGAAGTCATCCTAGCGGGTGGTTCTGTCGGCAGCCCGGCTGTATTACTCTACAGCGGTGTCGGCCCGAAGGACGTCCTCTCTGCGGCTGGTGTTGACCTCGTATCTGAACTTCCTGGTGTCGGCCAACACCTTCAAGACCATTTTGTGAGTGTGCTTCCTATATATAAGAAGAGCATTACTGACCGAGTTACAGAGTGCTACGGTGAAATGGAGCTCGAATGTGGACACCGCAGGTTCTATCTTTTACGACGGCGGCAAAGATAGGGTGCGTCCTGTATATACTCGATCAAACAAGGCCAGATGCTAATTCGCGCAGAACAACCCCAAATTCCTCACATACATTGATTCTGCCGTTGCCTATGTGAATTCGACCGCTATGTACGGCAGTAAAGTCAACGAATATGACTCGAAATTCCTCGACTCAATCGACCAGTATTCACCGAACACTACTTACGACGACGGCGTGGTCACCGGCTACAAAGCAATCTGCAACACGACATCAAACATCTTCAAAGGCCCGACAGGTCAAATCGAGCTCCTGTTCATGAACAGCGATGGAAACGGTGATATCGGCATCACAGCTGCCCTCCAACACCCATTCAGCCACGGCCGTATCTACATCAACTCCTCAGACCCAATGGACTACCCTGTAATCGACCCGAACTATCTGAATAACCCAGCTGGTATGTACCCCATCTAACATGCAAACCAAGTCCCCAACACTAACAATACCCAGACTCCGAGATCCTGCTCGCAGGTATCAAACTCGCCCGCCAAATCGGCGAAACCAGCCCAATGAGCGGAAGCCTCACAAACGAGACCTCCCCAGGCTCAACCGTCCAGAGCGACGACGACTGGATAGCATGGCTACGCAAGGAAGCCGGCACAGAGTTCCACCCGTCCTCATCTTGCGCGATGCTGCCGGAGAAGCAGGGCGGTGTCGTCGACGCCAATCTGCGCGTGTACGGTCTTGCTAACGTGCGCGTTGCGGATGCCAGCGTCATCCCCATTGCCTTGTCCACGCACCTGATGTCCTCGACATATGGTGTCGCTGAACAGGCGAGCGATATCATTCGCGAATATTATAACTCCGTATCGGAGCCCGAGCCGGCTTTTAGTGGGGCTCATGCCACAACTTCTAGTAGTGCCGTTGGCGCGAAGAAGAGTGATAGTCAGAAGAGTAATGGTGGTGTCGCTGCTATTGGCGGCACTGCTTTGTCGCCCGTATTGGCTCTTGTTCTTGTTTCTGTACATGCTGTTCTTGTCTATGGTCTATAGATCTAGACTGGTGTTTGCATTTGGTGGTAATGGTAATGATAATGCATGGTTTTTGGGACTTGGCTTTGGCATTTATGAAGTTCAATGCCTGCGATGTGTTGATCTCGGGAAAGGGGAACTGAAGTATATATCTACCTCGTTAGACCCAGTTATATAGTCTAAATTATCTCGAACATATGATGCACCGCCTCAAATCTTGGATTTCCCATCCATCGCCACAAAAGCCCCATCCTTCCTAACCTCAAAATCCTTACCCTGCTCCCACCCCGCCCACTCCCTAAGCGTGTCAACGCCCCCATCCCCAGGCAAAAGCCCGCCGCCCGACCACCCACCATTGTCCGCCGAAATGGGTTTGCCAGGCGTACTAACCAGATGCACCATAGGCCGCTGCTCATAGCCACCCTCCTCAAGCTCCGCCTGCTCCAAAACAGGCGTAGCACAAGCATCCGTACCATCAAAAACAGCCTCCCACTCCACGCGAGTCTTCTCCTTAAACCTCCTCGTAAAAATCTCCCTTAAGACAGGCCACTGCGTCCGATCCTCCCTCTCCGGAAGCTCCCCAATCTCAAACCCAAGCCCACGCACCAACGCCGCATAAAACTGCGGCTCCAACGCCCCAACAGCAAAATACCGCCCGGCATCCTTAGTCTCGTACGTATCATAATACGGACACCCACCATCGAGCAGGTTCTCGCCACGCGGCTGCGCCCACGCGGGAGTCTTCCTCGCCAACCGCGGGAACGTAGCAAGGTACGCCGAGCCGTCGACCATATTCGCCTCGACGACCTGGCCACGGCCGGTATGCGAGCGCGAGATGAGCGTGAGCAAGATTCCCTGGAAACAGACTGCGCCGCCGCCGGCGAAGTCGCCGAGGATGTTGCCTGGGGCGTGGGGCTTCTCGCCTGCGCGGCCGAGCGTCGACAGCACTCCCGAGACGGCGATGTAGTTTATGTCGTGGCCGGCCATGTCTTTGTATTTTCCGTCGCGGCGGAAGCCGGTCATTCGCGCGACGATTAGGCGGGGATTGTGTTTTTGGAGGACTTCTGTTGGGGAGAGGCCGAGGCGTTCGAGGACGCCTGGCCGGAAGGGGTCGATTAGGATATCGGCGGTTGGGAGGAGGCGGAGGAGGATGTTTAGGGAGTTTTGGTTGCGTAAGTCGAGCGTTATGGAGGTTTTGTTGCGGGTTAGTTGGTCGCGGGTTAATTGGTCAACGCTTGTCGAGTTGGGTCGGTCTATACGGAGGACTGAGGCGCCGTAGTCAGCTAGCAGGAGGCCTGCGAATGGGCCTGGGGTGGGATGTTAGTTGTGATGGTGATGTTTCTTGGATTGATTGTGTACCTGGAGCTAGGCCTGCTAGCTCGATGACTTTGATTCCTTTCAATGGTAGCATTTTATGTATTTTGAAGGATCAATCGAAGTTCAAAAGTGAGGTTGCCATTTATTACTTCTCCGCAGCCGAGGTCCGTGGATGTCGGAATGCGGGGGAATTGTCACAGCTATTGGACGATCATCGACATGATGAATATTATTGAGATGGAAAGCTGTCATTACAGGATTTTAACTGCCAGAAAATAATTGATAATATTCTCTTCACTGCATTATATGCAAATGGGTAGTATTTTTATACAAAGAGCATCGTTGTCCGTTGTAAATATGGAAACAGGAAATAAAAATGAGAGAAGTCAGGCTAGATGGCCACACTTGAAAAGGATATCATTAGGGAATTGAAACGGACTCGACCGCTCGCAAACTTCAATGCGAAGAACACAATGGTCTCACCGCTACTGGCCAGAGTAAATCACAAAAAGAGGCCAGGAGGTATCGAATCACTCCAGAGACTGGAGATCGGATGAACAAGAATATTATAAACATCGTAATGAACCAAAAGCAACCAGTCGCTAGAAAGTACCAGTTTGTCTTGAAATCAGCATTCGTGAGATCAATCATATCGCATGATGAGATCATGCTGTCCGGGCAAGTGGGCAGCTTTACAGCATCATGAACATGGAAAGAGCGATGGCGAGGACGCCACCGAACAAGCCGGTCATGTTGGAACGCGAGGCTGCACCGGTGTACACCGGAGACACGCCCTCTTGGTTGGTGGGCAATGCGGGTGTGTTCGTGGCGGTGGTCGCGACGGTAGGCACGGCAGGCACGGCAGTGCGCGCGGGCGAGGGGCGGAAGGCTATGCTCGAGGACGGCTTGCCGACGTGGAAGCCTCCTGCTCCATGACTGGGGATGGGCTTGGAGGAAGAAGATGGCGACACAGGGGCGACACCGGGCACTGTAACCTCACCAGTAGAGCCAGAGCTAGAGCCGGAGCCGGAGCCCTCACCGTTTCCAGAAGAGCCAGAGCCAGAGCCAGAGCCAGAGCCAGAGCCAGAGCCAGGAACAATGCTAGTAGCAGTTGCGGTGGCAGTTGCGGTGGCAGTAGCAGTAACAGTAGGAGCCGGGATGGTAATGGTGACGGTGCTACCAGTAGGACCACAGTGCTTGCAGAAAGTCACGGTGGTAGTGTATTCCTCAGGCACCGAAGGGGCGGTGGGCTGCGACACAACCTCAGTGGTAGTAGTAGCAGCGGGCTTAGTGAGGGTAACGGTAGTCGGGGTAGCGGCACACTGGGTGCAAACAGTCACAGTAGTGGTCCAGCCTTCGGGAATGTAAGGAGTGGAAGTGGCAGGCCCAGAAGTAGGAGCAGTGATCTCCGCGGTGCCAGTTGGGGTAGCGGTAGCGGAGACATCACCAGGACAGTAGGTTTTGGTAATAGTGGTGGTGATGGTAGTGAATCCAGTTGGGCAAATATCAACGTACGAGGTCACGATGATAGTTGTGGTCGTACCGGGAGCCAAGGAGGAAGGCGAGGCAGTCACAGAGGCAGTGGCGGTGATACCAGCCGGGGCTGTGGTTGAGTCAGTACCGGTAGGCTTGGATCCTCCAGTGAAGTTGTTGCCAGTAGGCTTGGAGCCTCCGGTAGTCTCGACGCTAGTAGAGCTAGAACCACCAGTAGTGTTGTCACCGGTAGGCTTGGAGCCCCCAGTAGTCTCGACGCCAGTAGAGCTAGAACCACCGGTAGTGTTGTCACCGGTAGGCTTGGAAGCACCGGTAGTCTCAATGCTGGTAGGCTTGGAGCTCCCAGTGGTCTCGTCGCTGGTAGATGATACACCGGTCGGGATGACACCTTCGCTAGTGGAAGAGGCGCTAGACTCGGTCGCAGAAGAGATGGGAGCGGTGCTTGAAGGGTGTCCCGGGATCAGGGGAGTGGAGCTTGGGACAGTGTGGGGATGGGGGTGGGTGTGGGTGTGGTGGCCATGTCCATGTCCATGGCCATGGCCAGCATGCGAGCTGTGGGGCTTTCCGGTGGCGGAGGAGTGGGGGGCGGGATGTCCGGATGAAGCAGGAGTAGTCGTCACAGAGCTGCTAGGGAGGCTCGAAGTGGAGGAAGACTGCTCAGAGGTAGCAGGGGTGGTGGAAGACACCGAGCTGGAAGAAGCGACCGAACTGGAAGAAGCGACTGAGCTGGAAGAAGCGACTGAGCTGGAAGCAACTGAGCTGGAAGACGCAACCGATGTGGAAGATGCAACCGAACTGGAAGATGCAACTGAGCTGGAAGAAGCGACTGAGCTGGAAGCAACTGAGGTGGCCGAAGGGGTAGCGGAGCTAGATGAGGCAACCGATGTGGAAGACGCAACTGAGCTAGAAGAGGCGGCGGAGGTGGAAGACACAACTGAGCTAGAAGACACAACCGAGCTAGAAGACACAACCGAGCTGGAAGAAGCGACTGAGCTGGAAGCAACCGAGGTGACCGAAGGCGTAGCCGAGCTAGACGGCGGGACAGTGGACGACGAAACAGGAGTCACAGTCGAGGAAGGGATGGGGGTGACAGTCGAAGTCGGGGGAGGAGGAGGAGGAGCGCAACCGTACAGGATATCCTTAATGTGCTCAGTGAATGTTGTTCCGTTGATGAGATTATTCTCACCAGCGGTGGCCTCCCACAGCATGATACCACCGAAGTGATCAGGGTGCTTGTCCATGTAAGTCTCGACAAGGGGCTGCACCTCATCAGGGGTCAAGTAGAATCCAGCATTAGCGGCATCCTCCGATGCGGGCAGTCCGATGAAGAGCTTAGCATTGGGATTGACACTCTTCTCAATGACACCGACCCAGTCGTCGAAGTTGAACTTGCCGGTCTTGTGCACCCAATCCGCAGCAGAGCAACCCTGGGTGTTGTACCACTGAACCCAGATGAAATCAAAGTACGAGTTGGTAATAGCATCGCCGAGCTGAGGGTCGGGAATGGGGCACTGGGGAGCTCCGGAGATGTAGTAGGTCTCTCCGCTGGTTTCGAAATGCGAGCGTAGACGATTAATTAGTGTGGCGTATCCTATATGAGTGTTAGGGAAAGTATAGTCAGAAGGTAGAGGGTCAGGGAAACATACCAACTCCGCCGTTGTACTCGATATCAAAGTCGAATCCATCAACCGAGGAAGTGAGGAATGGGCGAGGGAAGATGCCAACCAAGTCCTCGGTCCAACCCAATGAAGAGATGGATGGATTGTAAGGACCGAATGAATACCACAGGAAATCCGCAAACCAGGTCGCAGTGGCCTCATCCGGAAGAGACTGGGCTGTAGCGGTACCACCACCGATGGACAACAGGATTGTCTTGCCAGCAGCTTTGCAAATAGGGATATCTTGCCAGATCTGGTGGCAGCCATTAAGCAGCTCTGTACCGGGGAAAAAGTTGCCATCACACTGATTGGCAAAATTGGAACCAGGGAAGTCACCCACAAATTTGGGGAACTGATCGATAAAGCCAATGTTGATAATGTCCGACGTGGTCTGTTCACAGAAATGTGAGAGCCGGGGTTGGTTGAAACCTTGTCCATAGTAGACAGCAACATTATTCTTCAGACTGGCATCGAGAGCAACAGCAGACGATGCAAAGAGTGACAAGGCCGACACGGCGGCAAAAGACTTGAACATCATGGCTAAAATGAATGTAATGATTATATGCAATGATTATATGCAACAGAAACCGCTTAATAACCCGAAAATGAATGGCAGGTTATCTCGCGGACAACGAGGGGACGCAGACAAATATCTGCTTGGGAAGTATCCCAAAGAGCTCGAAATGAGAGTGTTGACGGTCGAAAGAGAATGTCCGCTGGGGAAAAGAAACTGAAATATAACGAGCGCCTGCTGGGGACTGTCCATGTCCGCCCCCTGGGGAAGATGCCGACCTCCGACATTGAGCGCACTAATCAGAAAAGAGAACAGAGCTACCAAAACGTGGAAATGAGCAAGTGCGTGATATCCGGATGATTCCACGATTCATAGGTCAGTGCCTCACCGGAGGCACCCCACCGGCGCAGGGTCACCCAACACAGACTCGTCGAGTGGAAACAATGCTTGATAGTGTGAACACTAGACCCAAAGGCTAACAGGATACGCAGAATGCATGCCAACTTGACGTGAACGCGGCATGGACCGGCTGGTCACAAGCCAAACCCGTGGCATAACATGGCCACATAGCCAGTGGCGTAAGAGAGTCGCATTCCAAACAAAAACTAGATCAGCCATCAGCCATGGTAGGCCTTCGTTGGAGAGGGGTATGTGCAAACCCTATGCCTATTCGGGGTTATCCCGGCGAAATGAAATTGCAAGAGCCGCATGAAAGAGGCTAACAGACCCTAACGGACTCTAGCGTCACTAGCATGAGGGTCATGACTGGTGCCAAGACTGTTAGTTTGATATATAAAATCCAATCACATCCGTAAGTTAGGCACCAGGGCACGGACGCCTCGGGGTCCACTGGCGATTGTACGTAGTGGGATGCAGGGCACTACCCGAAAGTCGGACCACATGGAGATGCAGGAAGGCGGGAAAGTGGAGGTAAGAAGATCCGTTTACATTCGTTTGACAAGCGAGTGTTTGCATCTTTCGAAGAGTAAGAGCGTAAGTGAGGGTAAGAGTAGAAGCAGAGGGTGTGAGGTCAAATCATCTCGCAACTTTCCCAAAACCAAGCAAGGCGATCAGAACCGACGGAGTTAAAAGTTAATTACCCTGCGCTAAACCCTTGGGGGCCAGAATATGGAGCCACCTCCCTATCAGGCACGCCAATCATATGCGTCGATCCGGGATGAAGCCGGATCACCGTTGATTCGGTTGCAGCATTTAAGATTGCTGTCTCACTTCGTCTTTTAGTTCTGTTAGTTTGACGCCCTAGCGAACTCAAGTTGTGATGTAACTCTGGCCAGGGTACGAAACATTACTTACACGTTCCAACCCACGGCCCCCAAAACTCCCACGTTACATTTGACTTTTCTTTCCCTTTTATTTCCCTGTTTATGCAAGGTACCCATCTCCTTCGGAGATATGCCCGCTCTAAGACGATATGTTAGGCGACAACAACGCCACTCATCTGTCTGATTGCTCACAAAGCACTAGCCAATCTTAAAAATGCGCACTTCGTATTCTGCAACCGCCACCGCCCGAGGTATCATTGGACAGGCAACATTGACCCCCGAAAAGGTTTAAATCTCTTGTTTTTCGGGAGGTTCGTGCCCGACAGGAGTTCCTCGATCTTATGTGTCTCTTCTCCTCATAACCTTGTGGGACCGGGCGGGTTGTAAGGGTCGCCCCGACTTGTGGATTAAGCAATGAAGCTGACTTGCGAGGAAATTGCGGCACATTTTCTTAACCGCACTTAAGCATCATTCGAATATAAGCTTGTTTGCAAATGGGAAGCCATAAGAATCGGATCGAAAGCACACAACGCTCTTACATTATTATTCTATCCGGGGAAAGTATATATCACCGTCCAAGATGAACCCATACAAACAGCAATCTAAAATCCACTTTATTATTCGCTATATCTGCCTGATATCAAACGGCAGTACATCGCTATTAATTGCATATATGTAGTTACTTCCAGAGGCTAGTTATCATTTTTATAACTTCATAGGAAGTTTAGCCACCATAGTGGCCTCAGCAACTAATCGCTTCCTCGTGGCTGGACTTTGGCAACTCGCATATGACCAAATGAAAAAAAAAAATAAAAACTGGTCACATATCCTGATCCTATCACTTCTATATGTAGTCTAATTTTGCCAAGTATTTCCTATTCCGGCTGCACAAAAGTGGGATTTGTACATAAACTTACGTAGGTCACGTTTTTCTATATGTTCACACTATACTCAGCCCCATGCGAGTAATGATGGGAGATGGCACGGTCTAGACTCTACTCATCTCTGCTGCACAATTCTGCAGAGCCTCTCTGTAAAAGGAATTGCCGACTGGCCCTGCGACCTCGATATAGCCTATTCCATTTTGAGATCGGTCTACATTTATAGGCAGCCATCTGTTTAACTCCAGCTTTGTTAGATCAAAAGGCAGAGGCTCACATTTGTCGTTTGGAGATGTATATTCGATTTCCAGCAGTAATTTTCGGTTGTCCCATCACTCGATATATATTGCTTCAGTTTCTACGCTAGGTTCAAATTGATAATCTTAGGATAAGCCAAAGCAACAGCAACAGCGAAAATTCCACCATTTTCTCTTTTTATGTTAAATTGATATGAATGCTTCTCGGGGACTACAGAGTAAAAAATCTAGAAGCAAAGGAGGAAGTTGTATTGGAACTATCTGACCCTACATAGAGCGCCTGAGGCCACCAAACAAACCCTCTCCTTTTTTTTCCCGCGAGGTGACCAAAGCAAGCGCTGGTGCGATATGCAGGTCACCAGAAGCTCCGTGCCTTTACTTGCCCTACTAGTGGCTGTGGAATGAATGCCCATGCTTCTTGTGAGCTTCGAGATGTCTTTTTCCATGCAGATTCGCAACGATCTAGGATACCGAAGAAAAGACCATTAGTCAGTGCTGATACTATTGTGTTTATGTACGGCTACAGGGACTTTCCCTTTCCCGCTTGCTTTTCTCTAAGAATATGTTTGCACAGAGCCACTTACAGGTGTAGCAGAAGCAATGCTTGAAACAACAACAGACGAACGAGGACTGTCTTTCGCGCACCCCCCAAAGACAAAGTGCGGGCTCGAAGCAGTGGCCACGGCGGAATTGCGGAACAGGTCATACCAGCCACCGGTGTTGAAAAGCCAGGATTCGCAGCCGTTGAGAGTCTCGCATTTTGACGCACAGGCTACAGAATCGGTGACATTGGTATCTAAAGTGAGTGGGGCGCTACTGAAAAAGGCGATTGTGTCTTGAGCGACTGAATCGCGACAAGCGGCGTTGACAGTGACCGCTGTACTTGCTAGTTTATCTTTCGTTATACTGACTAGTAGGAGAAATTACGGCACGAGACGCTAGGTACGAAGGGGCATAGTGCGAAGGATCATTTCCACCATATTGAGGCCTTAATGCCTGGAATTTGGCTGTATCTACGCCTATGATTGGTTCATTGAAATATTGTCTAAGATTCACCCCCTTTCCTATCGTCTTGATTATTTTCGTGGTCTAGGTACGCACTACGCCCCTGCGTGCCTAGACACTCTCATCCGATCTGACCGCAATTAGATGATGAAACCCCAGGGAGATGAAAGTTGTTATATGCCAGATTCTTTCTAATAGAAGAAATGCGTTGTCTAACGAAACAATAAGTATAGAGAGGAAAGGAAAGGAAACAGGACGCAGAGCCATAGTAGCGGCGACATGTGCGCCAATGCTAATGGCGACTATATGAGCTATTCGCTTCTGCGCTTTAGCCTCGATCAGACTTGCAAGACGGCGAGCGGCGTCGTTGATTTCCAGAGGTCTAGTCTCAAGCGATCGCCCGTGGGCAGGGAGGTCGGGAATTAGCACGTGGTAGGCGACGAGAAGCGGCCATACAGCGTCCTACTCCTGGCCACAGAATCCGCCATGAACGAGGAGAATCGTTGATTTGTTGGAAGATGAGTTGTGCGACGTATGTGGAATAAGTGTTTCCGACATTTTGATGTAACGGAAAGCGCCAAGCTAGTGTCCGTTGAGCTGGTCGTGACCGACTGCGAAGAGGGGGAGGAAGGTCAGACAACCCCGCGTTAACGGTCAACAAGCGAGCTGCGTAATTAGGCCAAGCTTGCTGGAGGCCCTGGTTCTTATCTGTCTGTGTTGCATCCGCCCCACCTTGTACCCCTAAGTACTTTCGACCATGGAGAAATAACACGCAATACCTCCAATATGCCAACTTTTCTACGAATGAGCGTATACTGATTCATACGGCTATATATAGGTCTCCCGGATAAAGGAGCGTGTCTAGGAGAAGGAGGGCATTCTACCCGTCTAGTGAATACTATCATCTCAGACAACCCATGTCGAAGATTGTAGCAAACAAAACCTCTTTCATGCTCTTACATTTCAGCGTTCCCCGCGTTCGGTGCTGATCTCTTTAGCATTATACCAAGGGCAGGGCGAGCTTTTTATGCCGGAGCAACAGAAGGCGGACCTTACAGAACGAGGTCTTGAGGTGCTAAACTGAAAGTAGTAAACTAACAACGCATAGTAATTTATAGGTCCGGGTATTACATAAATTACAGACCCTCGCAACCGATCTGCTTGGAATAATATGTTATCCGGCGAAGTGTGTACTTCGACATTGTCAGAGCGACGATAGTATGTATATTTTCCCTAGCCGATAATTTCTCTAGAGATATGGTGACGGAATTTCCAATGGCGTGTCGTTTAGATAGGATAGATGAAGAACGGGTTCTCCATATCAGTCATATCCAACATGGCAATTTCAACTTGCCTGCGTATCGTATTCCCATTTTCATCAAGCTCCTCGACGACTCCCAACTCGTGAGCCTTTCTCTCTTCACTGGTCAAGGATGCAGCCCAAGCCTTCCGTTGAGTGTTCCTGCGTTTCAAAATGAAGCGTATAATGAAAAGGATCAACGGTGTGCCCACCCAACTGACCACTATCATGGAGATCCAGGCACCATAATACCGAGGTGCGTCTTTAGGAACCCATATTTGTGGCGAGCAAATGTTGGCAATGGAATAACCAGCCATGAACATAACATTTCGGGTCAGCTTCTTCGTGTAGCCGGCTGCCGATGATGTAGTCCAACCCAACGCGATAATGTAGGTATTACCATAGGTATGGCCAGCCAAGAGCAGACAAGCAAGCATCCCTAACTTCTGGTCCCAGTCAATTGCGACCATTCCAACTCCACCTGCAATTGCAGGAAGACACCAGAAGAGTCCGTGGAAGGCAAGATTTGAAGGCCACCATCGCAGGGCATATGCTCCTGCGAGACAGACCAGGACACCGAAACCGCCACCAGCTGCAGCCACGAGCGTCGAACCCAGGCTGTCCACCCCAAGAGCCTTGGTAATGAGGTTCTGCTGCCCGTAGGTGAGATTATTAGACATCATCAGGGTAAAGGCCTGCAGAGCGAATAGCCATGAGACAGGGTCGCGGAGCGTCTCTATAAACTGACTCTTCTTGAACTGCTTCTGTTCAATAGAACTTTGACTTGACTCGTGTACCCGTCTGATGGTGTGAATCTTTTCCTCCAGTGACAGGAATTTAGCATCGGCTGGATTATTTGGATAATGAAACCAAACAACAATTGAAAGAAGTACCGAGACAGCCCCAGTAATAATCATAAACAGCTTCCATGGCAGGACGGCGCTATGACTCCAAAGTAACCCGTAGGAGATAAATGCGGCACATATGGGGGCGGCTGCCGACGTCAACCAAAGAAAGGGTTGGAGGAACGACTGTTCGTAACGATTGAAGAACATTCCAATTGTGACTTCCATTGCAGGTACAACGACAGACTCAGCGGCACCGAGTGCTAGTCGGAGGACCACAAGAGCGGAATACGTTGTGGCAACGCAATGAAGTAGTAGGATGACACCCCACATGAAGACAAGAGCAGCGACAAATTTTCCAAATGGTAGTTTTTGCATAGCATAATGTCCCGGCCATTGCGCAACAATGTAACCTATGGGAATGTTAGAGAAGGTACAATGAGAGAAACAATAATGTCACGTACCGACGTAGAAGAAAGTCCCAAGATTGTTGTATTCAGCCTTCGTGATACCAGTCTCTTCGAACAGGCCGAGAATAGCGGCGTAGCCCAGAGTGGATTTATCTATCTAGAGAAGTTAGAGGCTGTGAACAAGATGATCGTATAATGAGCTCACAAATAGCAGTAGGTTGATAGCGGAGAGTAGTCCGAAGATATTCCAGTACAATTTGTGTCTCAGCTTTTTCTCCTTCTCGGGCGTCAATGGCCCAACAGAGTCTCCATGAAGCTCAAGAATGCGCAGAGTTTCATCGGCATATTTGCTCTCGAGGGCTCTCTCGTTATTAGATGAAAGACTCTCCGTGGCCGTAGCCTCAGCCTTGGAGGCCAAATCCATATGTGCGTGTAGCTTGTTTCTTGGTGGCAATGGAAAGAGGCGTGCACCGTCGACTTGGGTCTTTGAATAAATAGACACTTATCATGAAGGAATGAATGAGCTGAATGAGTAGTTATATATCGTTTCGAGGGTACTTGGAAATGTTATCACGCCATAATTTAGATTTATCTCGCTCTTTCTTGGCTCTAGAAATGGGGTTGAGTAATACGAGACCACTCATAGTTAGCAATTGCGAAGACTCCGAGTCACACACTTCCTATCATAATCTCTAGGTTACGGTCACTTTCTCCAGTAGCAATGGTTGGACAAGGGATAAGCAAACAGAGGATGTGAAAGAGCAAGATCAATCGTATATCTTTGCCAGACACAAAACTCTAAGCAAGGGCCCGTGCGGAACCATGTGGAGCAGGCCGGGCCGGTTCCGTCGGACCAATCTTGAAATCCGAAGGGTCATGTATATCGGCCTATGATCCCGCAGATCGCGACACATCGGAATCTGTTCCTGATCCGTTCTAACCCTCTGATTAGTGGATCATAATCCTTTCGAGGTAGCTCCTTCAACCCGACGCTTAGTCGTCCGTCCGAGCGAATCGCCTGAATCTCTGATGTGCAGGATTTCTGTGGTTTGGTGGACACAAAGAGAAAAAAGAAGAGAGTGTATCGGGAAAAAGCATGTAACTACCTGCAGCTAAAAGTTCTCTGCCATGGGGGAAACCAATATTTTCCCAAGACCTCAAGTACATGACGTGATAATAACAAAACAACCATCATTGCGCGAAATGGCATGGTGTTGAATGTTTTAGTCAACCCAACTTGGCACATCTACGTCGCCACCTCCACCTGCCAAGCTTTTTCTTTTCGCCATTTAGCTCGCTATTACGTGCTAGATTTATTTAGGAAGATTCAATAGTACCACTATATGCATTCGGGTTTGGTTTATCTTACCATGCAAATCCTAGCTTGGCAAATCTCCTACTAGTGTCCCGATCTAAGATAGGTCATTATCATATGCTTCATATTTGCTTGCTCGCCATAGATTGTTTGTTAGATAGGTAAGCGAGAAGGTTGGTTGTTTGCAACGTTTGCATGGTCAGCTATATCAACTAGCTGCTTCCACTTTACAACTTGCTTCTTCTTTCTTTCTCCATGTTAGTCATTTAGTTGAGTGCACTCTTTTTTCTATCAAGATCGACCTGGTTCCTCGCAATAGGTGCAATTTGATAAGGATATTATACAGAGACCTGGACACCAGATGAGTAATTATCTTTCAGTTCGAACTTACAATGATGTCTTTTACTTCAAGCTCGAAGTCCATATGGTCAGTTTTATGTCTATACATTCAATTTGTTACTCTATTTCCCCGTTCTCAATCTCCAACATCATTTGCTCTGCTTCCCTTGCTGCCTTTCTTGCTTCGTCTCCAATCTCGCCCATCCTAGCGACCTCCCCAAATCTCTTCCGCCATAGCTGCCACCTCTCCTTGAAAAAGCCATGTTTGCCTTTCCAGAGAGGGCCTCCTCTCCCCGGCGCTATACCCGGATAGCCGCTAAGATCTGTATCCCATTTATAGATCCCTACGCCGAGAGTACTGATCCATATCGCAGCAGAAGGAATCGCCTCTAAGGGGTGAGTTAGTAATAACTGGCCTATAGGTATTTCTAGCGCGTCGCGGAGGGTGAACATTGTAAACCATAAGTATACGAATACAGGTTCTTCGGTTGCCATCAAAAGTGCTGTGAATTTATCCCGGTTGATAATTTTCGAAATTACACTTTGTCGGTGATCACGGAGTGCCCAGCCTAGTGTCGGGAGGTCTTTCCAAATTTGCATATCGTAGAGAATGAGTATATCCTCGCTGGGAAGCTTGGAGAGTTGGACTAGGAGCTCGACAATCTTATCATGGTATCCAGAGGACTCGCAGGCACATGTTACTATCACACTCCAAAGATTATAAAGACCGTATTGAGGAGGGTCTACTGATAAGGTGGTCGAAGCGAGATCCCTCACGGCTTCTTGCGTAGAGATTCTATCGCTGAATAGGTCCTGTAGGATAGCAAGCATCTCATCATAGACGTCGGCCATTCTGAGAAAATGCTCAATAGTGATTCACAGATGATGTAAGTTCGCTCGTATATCAATCAATACATGACCGCTGCAGACTGCAGTGACGCAGGAATTCCGACTCCTGTTTACGCCAGAGTTCCAAATCCGCTTTTTGGGGGGTCAATTAGCACACCACTCTATAATTGTGCCAAACGCCAAATGCACATACCGTGATGTTGAGGCCCAACTGCGCAACTCGAGCTGCCACTATGCCACAGCGGATTCAGGCACGGCCTTATCGACTTGAAACTCACAACACCCATAACCACAATGACACAGCCAAACGATGTCTCCCCCTCGATATCAATACACGCGCACCCGGTTGGCAGGAAGTCGAATCTACCTCGCGTGAACACGGCATATTCTACTGCAGGATCTCTTCTGAACGTCTTGGTCGATAAAAACCGTATTGTCTCCCTGTCTAAACCTTTCCTGGGCGGGTCTCAATATAATATGCAGCTGTTGTTCAAATATTTTTATTAGATTCACTCCATAATCTGCAATATATCCCAAGTACTTGGAAACATATCATCAACGAAAGTCATATCAGGCATAAAAGGCTGACGGAGATCAAGATTTGTCTCCCCCGAGTTCTCAAGCGGTGGCTCTGACTTCAACAGCTTGTCAATGACATCAGAATGCTGTGCGAGACAGATATCACCTAGATCCCACCCAAAGTTCTTGTGGTGCGATCGTAACGAATCCAAAAGGTCATTCGCCATTCGCAGAGAACCACTCTGTGCAAGACCCGCTGCCTGCTCTGTCTCTAGTGCGCACCGAATCAAAAACGTCACCGTTGCTGAAAATGTAAATGCTACGACAGGTAACCAGAAGTCACCCAGCTGGGCTTCTCCGAGTTCCTGGACCAGAACCACAATGTCCTCCGCCGTCCTGCGCGCTTCCATGATTTGGTTGGCCATGTGCTCTGCATTCGAGTCTGGTGCTTGCCGCTCTCGATCTAGGTCAATGCGCCGGAGGAGGAGCCTTGTTGCGAGGTATGCCAGACGGAGATTAGAGGATCCGGGTATATTTAGGTTTGAGCCACGGATGATGATTTTGCGGATGTCTCCTGTGAGTGAGTCCACCCATTTGTTCAACTCTAGTTCTAGATTCCTGCTTGGTGCTTGGGTCTCTATTCGGATGCTATACACCTGCTCCAGACAGTGATCTAGCACATCGGTCAAATTCATAAGCTCGATGAAAACCGCGTTTGCTTCATGGTCTCGTTCCCAATCTGACAGGTACTCAGATTTTGGTAGTGGTACATCGTATTGTGATCTCCTGATATGGGGAGGTGTTCCATACGCCAGACTTGACCTGTTTGATGATGAGTTCCTGAAATATTGCACTGTTTGAAAGGTTCGTTCTTGAAAACATACCAGCGATCATGGAGTAATATAGACCACCAGATCTTCATTCTCATGTGCTTCTCCTCCTGTGGGATATCCCACGGAAGGGGGTTTCGATTTAAACCCAGGGAATGGCACAACGCAACAGCCGAACCAAGCCTTACTCCGTTGCCTGTCATAGATGTGGTTGGACGACCCCCAACATCGAGGAGGATGGCCTTTATCGTTGATATTCCAGCTGAGGCATGCAACTCCGAATAGGACGCTTCAATAGCAAGATTCCAGACAAAACGAATGTCTGGACATCTTTCTCGTGACAAAAGGGGGTCATGTTGCCATTGGGTAAGCACGTGGGCATACAGGCACGCCAAAAGCGCAGGAGAAATGCGATGTCTGGCATTTGTGTATTGCGCCCGAAAGGAACTTTCTTCGAGTAGTGGGATGCAGGGATTGATCTTTCTCAGATATCTGGGGACAATTAGTTTCCAAACTTCTGGCGAATACTAACCAACATCATCTAACTCACATGTCTATCAAGTGTGGTCCCCATGGCTCTACAAGCTTTTCGATGGTTTGTAACTTATGCAATGCCGGACTGGAGTTCACCATGAGCCCCAACGGCCTTTTCTGCACCTTGGTGAATATAACCGGGGATGAGGAACTACCCGGCTCGACTGGACGAATCTCACGAATCCCCTGGCCACCCGAAATGTTAGACAGGTAGTCAGCCAAGACATGATTATCCCCAGTCACCGCCGGACCGAGGATATGGGGATTATCATCGTCGGCTTCAAGAGACAGCGGTGTATCCTGTTCGTTCTGAGCCTGTGTGACAATCGAGAACTGCGGCGAAGTCGCTACTGGTGGCGGTAACCGGTTCAGTGGCCGGGCAGCTACGGCTGGAGTTCGTAAAGTCGGGTGCGGTTGTATTGGGCTATCCTCTGTAGAATACCTCTTTTGCGGTGTTGACTTTCCTCTGCCGTTGGGAAATGTACACTCTGTGCCGTGTGCACGACACATCAGACAGGCCGCGGTGTGGGGCTCCAATTTGCATCGCGATTTCCTCCGCCGGCACGGTACGCATGCTGGCTTCGTGTGAGACCGGTATGGTCGCTCGTCCCCGCTTTCCATCTTGTTTGTCAATGCTTTTCGGGTGGAGGGAAATCCCGCGGCAAGTTCCCCTCGGCTGAGCCTGAGATGTGTGGCGAAGTCGAGTTTTGTCCTAAACGTAGGATAATACGGAGCAATTGCTTGAAGCCTGGCTCTTACCAGCTAGTTGCCTCGTTTAATGCGCTTCATCAACCTTCAGTCCACCCTTATTCGGCCTTCTGTTGGAAGATCAGTCGTGGGAAATTCCGCGGGGAAGAGTGGGTCCGGCCGTAGTCCGTGGACCTCCCGAGATCGGACCGTTTAGTAGAGTTGTATTTCTCTATTTACAGCTATGTTCGACTGGAAATATCACCTACAGGCTGAAAGTGAAGTTTGCTTTAACATCGTGATAATGAGATCTGTGAAGTTGGAGGGGAATAAATTCAGCAATCGCCGTTGGTCGGTTTCGTACCTGCGACGTGGGGCTATGGGGCTTTACACGTGACTTCTCAATTGCGTAGGACCAATCATATATTGCAAAAAAGGCCTCCACTCTATAAGCTTAATAAAAGACGTGTAAAAGAGAAAAAAATAGGTAGCTTCTCTTTGATTGAGCGTGTCATCCTTAGTGCAGGGGCCATGCTAATCTTCTCTGTATATTTTCATTTGACCATATGCCCCGAAGGGCGAAATAGCATCCTTAAAGTCCAATATAACCTCACTTTTCGGCAGAAGCCGACCGCCTACCGTATTGGATGGGTTTGCTGCATAACATTGTCTCACTGGGTTAGGTACTAGCCGTCTTACCGCCCCCATACCTGTTCCAGGTATCAATGTTAGGGTGGGATGGTAAGACGGCTACCAGGCTTTCCCAATTCTGACATTGCCTTTGCAATTATTAGGGATTAACAAACTATCCAAATGCATTCCCCAAAGCGCCTTGATCACCAGGAGGTCACAATGAGTGAACATGACTCATGCCTCGGCGTGATCCACTATTCCCCTTACGGATCTAGAGGAACCCGTGGAAGCTTCAATATAAAAGTCTAATATCCTTTTCATATCCTTGTTCAATATGCGACGATCTGAGAAAGCCGGCAAATCTGTTCACTTTTCAGGTCTTTGTATATTTCTACCTCTTCTCCAACCATGAAGCTCCCCCATGACAAACCCACCAATCCGCCATCTACAGCAGATCCTCTAGATCCTCTGCAAATACAACAGACTGAAAAACGTACACCAACGTCAACCGATGATTCTGGGCCTCTCAGCAACCAGAACGAACCTCAGTACCCCGGAAAGGCCAAGCTCATCCTCATCGCTCTCAGCTTGAGCCTCTGCATGTTCCTTGTGGGGCTAGACAACACAATTATTTCCAGCGCCATCCCTAAAATCACCGATGATTTCAACGCATTAGAAGATGTTGGGTGGTACGCGAGTGCCTTCATGCTCACAGTATGTTCATTCCAGCTGATGTGGGGAAAGCTTTTCACATTCTACACCGTCAAATGGGTCTACTTGGCCTCCCTGTTTATTTTTGAACTGGGCTCTTTGATCTGTGGTGTTGCACCTACATCCACTGCTCTGATTGTGGGGCGTGCTATTGCCGGAATCGGTGGTGGTGGTGTCTCAAACGGTTCGTTTTTATTGATCGCCTACTCGGTGCCGCCACGCCAACGTCCTATGTTGATTGGGGCCCTTGGTGCTATGTACGGATTTTCTGCCATTGCTGGTCCTTTGATAGGGGGTGCCTTCACCAATAACGCCAAACTCACTTGGAGGTGGTGTTTCTACATTAACCTTCCTCTTGGGTTTGTTGCTGGTCTGGTCATTTTATTCTTCGTTTCTTCTTTCAAAGGAAGTAAGGCAGGTAAACTCGGCTTCATCAATCAACTGAGGCAGATGGATATTCCCGGTACCCTCTGTTTACTTCCTGGTATCATTTGTTTGCTCCTTGCCCTGCAATGGGGTGGTACCAAATACCCATGGGCCAGCGGGCGAATCATTGCTCTGTTTGTAGTGGCCTTCGTGATTTTGGTCGCATTTGGGTTTGTTCAGCTTCGGTCCGGTGAACTTGCAACCGTCCCCAAGAGGATTTTCTACAACCGCAATATTTGGGGCTCATCTTTGTTCGGCTCATGCATCGTCGCTGCGTTTTTCGTCATACTCTATTACGTGTGTATAGCTCCTTGTGAGGTTGGATAAACCCTAAATTACAGCATACTAACTTGTTCGTCAGATTCAAATTTGGTTCCAAGCCATCAAGGGAGCCACCCCAATCAAGTCCGGTGTCATGAGTCTTCCTCTTGTACTGAGCTACGTGCTCTTCTCGTTCGTGACGGGCGGTCTTACTTCGGTGTTTGGGTACTACGTACAATGGGCCTATATTGCGGTGGCTTTCATGGCAATCGGAGCCGGTCTGCTCACCATGCTAGACGTCAACTCCGGCCACGCAGAATGGATTGGATATCAAGTGATTCTTGGAGCGGGAGTTGGGTGTGGTTTACAGACAGCATTCTCCGCACCCCAAACTGCGCTATCATTGGAGGATATCCCCATCGGCACCGCTGTTGTTATATTCACGGAGAATCTCACCAGTGCGGTCTTCGTCTCCGTTGCGCAGAATGTGTTCACAAATCAGCTGAAAACAAATATGGCGCAATATGCTCCGGATGTTGATGCCACTGAAATTATTGCAGCCGGCGCAACGAAATTCAAGAGCCAAGTGCCTAAGGAGCTCTACGATGTTGTCCTGCTTGCTTACAACAAGGCCCTAGATCAGACATTCTACGTGAGCGTCGCCCTCTCTTGCTTTGGTATTCTCGGTGTATTGGGGCTGGAGTGGCTCTCTGTCAAAGGAAAGAACGACGATACTTCTGATGATACCCATGCCAAGTCATGATGGCTCGAATTTGGAGTTTGCATCTCATAACTGTTGAAGCAAGATTATGTCCGATGGCATCAATTTAGATCTCTTCTCGGGAATACATCTAACGACTGTGTACCTAGTACCCATAGTGTTTGGTAATCAGCCTTACTAAGAGACGATAATTATAACGTACAATTGTGCGTGGTTTTGGATAAACTCCACAGAGGGCAGGCCTACAATGGACTAATAATTAGGACGATCATGTTGACCGCTTTTAGAGTCGGTGGGCTAATCCCACATACCCACCTCAGTTCTGGGACTCTACTTTATGGACTACGTATAATCGACTTATGTTCCTCTAGAAGATAGGAACCATACTGTCTCACGACAAATTCAACCCCGCTCATATAGCTCTAGTCGACAGACAGTCGAGCCCCCATGATAATCGTATCCATGAGGATGAACATCAAGATAGTGGATATATCAACTGGCGCAGCAAACTAGTTCGATAGCTACTTGGAATGATCCCTGTGCGTCATTTAATACCACGCTAAACGACGGACGAGGCACGCTTGGTTTAATCATCTCATTTTTCACCAAGTCTAGCCTTACTGTTGCATCTGATCTATTATTATATGCCACTCACGACGTTCATCTGTAAATTACTATTGAGATTTTCCTCAAAATGACAGACGTCACAGACGAAATGTTTACTTCTCAATTCGCTGTCCTACAGGACCTTTTCAGCGACAGCATCTCTGCACAAGAAGCCGTGAGGGATCTCGCTTCGATCTCTTTATCAATGGAACCTGAAGCAGGCCTTGGTCGTCTGTGGGCTGTGATAGTGGGATGCGCCTACGAATCCTCTGAATACCATGATAAGCTCGTCGAGATCCTAGTCCAATTTTCTAAGCTCCCAAGCCCGAAAACAGCCAGCGGGGACACACTCATTCTCTACGATATGCAAATTTGGAAAGACCTCCCGACACTAGGCTGGGCACTCCGTGATCACCGACAAAGTGCAATTTCGAAAATCATCAACCGGGATAAATTCATAGCATTTTTGATGGTAACCGAAGAACCTGTTTTCGCATACTCATGGTTTGTAATGTTCACCCTCCGCGACGCGCTAGAAATACCTATAGGCCAGTTATTACTAACTCACCCCTTAGAGGCGATTCCTTCTGCTGCGATAGGGATCAGTACTCTCGGCGTAGGGATCTATGAATGGGATAAAGATCTTAGCGGCTATCCGGGTATAGCGCCGGGAAGGGGAGGCCCTCTCTGGGAAGGCAAACATGGCTTTTTCAAGGAGAGGTGGCAGCTATGGCGGAAGAGATTTGGGGAGGTAGCGAGGATGAGGGGCGATATTGGAGACGAAGCGAGAACGGTAGCAAGGAAAGCGGAGGAAATGATGTTGGAGATTGAGAATGGGGAAGTGGAGTGAAATGTTGTACTATATATGGACATGTGGTGGTCCTCGAATAGCCAGACAGATAGCCATCTCCAGTTTGCGCCATCGAATATGTGATATTTGAGCACTGGCAAATTTGGATTCTGAGCTCCCATATTAGACCTCGATTTTCTTGATATGAAAAGCATGAGAGGCTTTTGTAGCCACGCGACCCAGTAGGCCTTTACTACAAGTCCTAATACCTAAAAGGAAATTGTATCGGGGACCCCTCCATTGGTTGTCGGGACCCCCCTAGTTCAGGCATCAACTGACCGCCTACCATTAAGACTCACCGCTTTCCTGGCCGCCTTGGCACATGATCTGGCACTTGATCTCACGCGTGACGTGACGCGTTACAGTAAGTCGGAGGGGACCCCTTTCGGGCCGGGATCTTCTTAGCAGAAAAGTAAGCTCCGTCCGTACTTTACCGGCGCAAAGCTGATGGCTGGAAAGCCAAGCCTAGATTTCAAGTTCAATGGCCCTGTCTCCACCATCTTTGATCCCTTTCGCGTTGTCTTCACGTTTTGAGCATTTATCTTTTCAATATGGCCTCTTTGGGGCTTGCTTACCTTGAGGACTCGGATTCCGAGTCCAATACCGATCCCGATATCAATCCAGACACCCAATCCAACCCGCCCAGCGCCCAGCCAGAGCCTGATTCCCTCATACAGCCGCTTCCACCCTCTACACAGCCGACATGCGCGATCACGATGGCGCTACCGCCCACCGATCGTACATACGCGACCTCCGATGAAGCAAAGGATGCTATCAACGACTTCGCACGCCCACATGGGTATGCGGTTACGATCCGCCGGTCTAAGACTACCAAAAGGGGGGTAAAGAAGACAGTCCGGCTTATCTGTGATCGTGGTCGGAGGCCAGATGCATGTGAGCATCGGCCTCAACCGAAGAAGCGAATCAATACCAATACTATGGCGTTAGAATGCCCCTTCTCTATGGCTCTGCGGCGAGACCACGGAACAGGTCTTTGGCATGTCACAATCGAGAACCCGTCCCATAACCACCAACCATCTCCTGCTTCAACGCACGCTGTACAGCGAACCCGAGAGCTTACCAATAAAAGAGAGCAGATTGTTACTGCGCTTCGATTGGGTCGTACTACTCGTCAGATCATGGCCGAATTGCATGAGGCTGACCCCGACACTGCTATCATTCCACGTGATATTTACAGCACCCGGTTCAGATTGAAACAGTTGTTTCCTGTAAAGCATACCAAATCAAAGAAATAATCATAATTTTGAGCAGAATGGTGCATTTTTTACTATGTAAACAAGAATTCAAACTTACAGAAATAAGTATGGCAGAAAATTAAAAGAAATGGCAGAAATAGCTGATGCCTAAGGGATCAGACACGCAGAGATCAGCCAAAGGGGGGTCCCAACAACCAAGGGGGGGGGTCCCAAAACAATCCCCAAAACATAACTAGACTTATAGTTATTGGAATCTTGCTTGTTTACTTGCTTGCACCACCCCACACATTGACAATTCTTATCCCTTTTTGGATCAAAATTAGGACTTCATATGCCTCATTAACAGTTTGGTCACTTTTATATTGGACCGTCTGAATTACTGTTCGGAGAGTATCTTCGCTTGATGCATATACTCCATCGGTACCACGTGATCCCAATATGCACCGGTATTATTATAGCAACGTTGGAAATTCCACTACGGAATTTATAAAGACTACATTGCGTGCGTACTCTCCACATATTCGACATAGAATCTAACAATACACCATATTAGGGAAATACATAGCCGATTGGACTCGAACATATCGACTAGTAGCGTTTTGACGCAATCCAAGCCGAATATGAGCTCAACAGATTATAAAGCACGAAATAAGTAAATCTACTTCCACTTCACCCAGATTATAATCCTTTTACTTGTTTACACGCATCATTGCAACTGAGCTCACAGAATATGGCCAATCTCGAAGCCCGCAAGCATATTTCCGCCGATTCGGGATTCCCCATTACACTCCATCCTCATTTCAACGAGAAGATCAAGAATCATGTGCCTCCAGAACCACCCCGTGAGCCATTTACCCCGCCCAAAGACCGAGCATTCTTTGCAGATCCGGAGAAGAAGGCACTATTCTCTGTGGCGAAGCCGGTTGACTTGACTGAGTCTATTGGAACTGTCCTCGAGGATGTGCAATTGTCTCAGCTGAATGAGACTCAGCTGGATGAATTGGCGCTTCTCGTTAATGAGCGGGGAGTTGTCTTCTTTCGGGATCAGGATCTTACTACTGAGCGCCAGGTAGAACTGTTTCAGCATTATGGTAAGGCCATATGGATTTCCGAATGGCGGCATCGGATTAATAATTTTATCTTGCAGGTATCTTGGATAAACACCCTGCTCAAAAGGTAAGCTAAAACATGAAGTTTTCTGGATTCCAAGGCAGATTCAAGTGAGCTGACAATTATCAGGATCAAAAAGTATGAAGTTCCATAACCACTTCATGGCATTTTGTCATCATTGCTAACCCAGCACAAAGTTCGTGAATATCAAAGGTAGCCGCGAGGATCACCGTGAAATCCTAAGCTACACGCCTTGGGTAAGATATCTTGAAAATGCTTAAACCAAAATTCTAACAGCAATTTCTACTTCTGTAGCCGAGTGGAGATTTCCACGCTGATACATCATTCGAGATCAATCGTATGTGGTGAACCATATTTTCTGGCTATTAATCTTTAACACATCATAGCACCTACCTACTCCCTACTGAGAATGGAAGAACATCCCGAAGTTGGTGGCGACACAGCTTGGGTATGTTACAGATACAGGCCGCATTCGAGACAAAATGTTGATTTCATAGGTATCTCAATATGGCTTATACGATGCCCTAAGCAACGCGTACAAAAGGTTCCTAGATGGCCTTCACGCCGTGCATACCTCAAGGCTGCAGTGTTTGTCTCCTTCATAATCATAGTAGTAAACCTGCTTACATATTAACTAAATAGATGATACCATCATCGATCTATGGGGTGCAGGTCCCAATCGCCCTCCAATCGATACACACCACCCAGCCGTGCGCACGCACCCAGTCACTAAGCTGAAGGCATTGAACGTCAATCCTGGATTTGTGACTGGATTTGCTGAGCTTAAGAAAGTGGAATCCGGTGAGTGAAATACTGAACGAATCAGTTTGTGGTTTAGGGCTGATGCCTTTCTAGACAAGGTTCTTGATTTCTTGGCATATCATATCCACTCGGCCGATGATCACTCTGTTCGTTGGAAATGGGCTGTTGGCAGTGTTGCAATGTGGGATAATCGGTAACTATGCACTGTTCTCTTTGTGGCTTTGGACTTGGGAACTGAAGATCTCTTAGGTGTACCCTTCATCGGGTTATCCCTGGTACATACAAAGGAGCTAGACAAGGTATCCGGACCACCGTTTTTGGTGAAATACGTGAGTACTCATGTCAAGAGATAGTGGTTTTTAATTCTGCATCTTGTGCTAACCTTATACGGAAGCCTATCTTGATCCCACTAGTGAGAGCCGTGCAGAGCGGAAATTACGCGAGGAAAGCCAGAATGGTGAGGGTGTTCTCGCAGTTTGAAAGAGGAGTAAAGAACAGATGATTATTCACAGATTATATATAGGCTTCTCATTGATTCATGGAATAGATTTTGTGTGAGGGAACTTTTGTGTAGACGTCAACCCCGTGTCGCAAATAGATTAAGTACTTTTTTCAAGGACATTCAACAACTCCAACTTTTTATTTCGAAGCAACTGCTTCGGCAACATGAAATGTCTCCTTGTCAGAGAGACTAACGTTGTTCTGCTCCTCGTCTTGGGCTTGGGGCAACTCAGAAGTCTCCTTGGAATGCTCGATGGGAACGTGGACCCTGATAACGAGCCAAGTAGGCCACACCGCAAGAACTGTAAATAAAAGTTAGCACTACTTCTTTATAATCAGTCAATTTGTATCACTTACCGAGAAGGATAGTGTTAACGATAAGTGGCACTCTTCCACCATGCCATTTCTTCGAGTTGAGGCCGTAAGAAACAGCCTGTGAAAAGCTCTCTTGGCCACGGAGGATACCGGACAAGCGGGCTATATGGTATTAGTAATCTGGAGATAGGACGATCGGTTTGAATTTTCGACTTACAGAGTTCGGAGATATTGTCGGTCATGGTGGATAGAAGGTAGTAGAGGAAGTTCTGCAGCGATTGCTGAGCGAATTCTGATGAAATAGGTTAGCACTGTGTGGGATGTTGATCAATCTATAAGACTCACCCCAGAGCAGGATAACGAAGAATCCTTCAACGAAACCTTTGTCGGCCCAATCAAGTGTTGGTGGGTTCCTAGTGTACTTCTCTTGGATAACCCAGCAGTAGACCCAGGCAGCGATGTGGACGACAATTACGTAGAAAAAGCTGTGGCTTGTTAGTTTTGCTTCTAAGTTCAATTTTGGATGGTGTGGTTTTGTACCTGTACTTGATTCTGTTTCTGATAGAAAGGCCACGGTAGTCCAGGAATCTACTAATGATCGTTGATGCAAGAAGAGTGGCGAAGTAGGCTTTGTTCCATGTTAGCACTGATGCAAAAGGTGTCTAACTCTTGTGAGTGTGTAAACATACTGACGAATCCAATCAGCGCGCGAGCGCGCACGCCAAAGTAGTACGTTTTGAAATCTGGATCAAGTTATCAGCAATTGCATATAAGAGGAAACACACGATACATACTTCCGGTATACATATTGAAGTATGCGGCCCAGAAAACAGGCAATAGCAAAAGAATCTAGGAATGTTAGTCACATATAGCACATAGGCACGATGGAACCAATGATCTTAAACATACCTCTCTCCGCTGGCAGACCTTCCAGAGCTCTTTCATTTCATCACGCCACGAGTCCTGCAGGATAATCCTGACTTTGCTTCCGTCGGTGCGTTGGACCTTGTCAGGTGACGTGAGGAAGAAGGCTATAGGAACGGCAGTACATTGGAGGGCGACGAAGATGAGATACGTCTCTGTCGTGTGTTAGCAATCGTTTTGTTCAATCTAGCTTGAATAGACCTACCAGATCCAACTTTTCCTTTTGCATGGGCATCGGCAGCACTTTCCAGTCGTCAGTAAATATGTCCGTGATGTGAATTCAAATTGGAATTAACATACTGGTTGAGACCAAGGACAATAGCACCTCCCAGTATAGGGCCACCTGTACGGAACCAAAGCCAGATGCTTTTTAAGTCAGTCTTTTTGTCACTGTAGGGCTTTTTGAAATATCTCACTTCATGTATCGGCCTCGCTTTGCAGGCTCGGGATAACCTAGTGCCACAGCACCCTCAGAAGCCCAGAAAAGACCAGCGCTATAAATGTTAGTCAACGATATTATTTATTTGATCAGTATAGGATACTCACGATAAACCACAAAATACTGATCCAACCAGCACAAACCATACATTTCCCTATATGGAAATTAGTCTTCTTCCCTGGGTTGTACAAGTTGACGAAGAACTCACAAAACGGTTATTTGTGTATAAGGCGGCACTGTATATAAAGTCAGTCTTCAAATAACACAATTTCACACCTTGTTCTCATGATACATACGAATACAGCGGATATCCCACAGCACCAAGCATCAGAGTCCATCTCAGGCCAATCCGGTTGGCAATTGGGCCACCGAACAGACACAAAATGCCCACTAGCAAGCAAATCAAGTTAGCGAGAAGCCCGATTCAAATCCAATGCGATTACAGCAACATATCACATACTAAGACCGAAAACAAGCGCATTGGCGGCATTAATCAAGAAAGGCTCCTGCGCGCCACCAGCACCCAAAGCATTCATGGCATTCCACAAGCCCGGGGCTGTGAATCCGACGGCCCCGATAATACAGGCATTGAAGAGTGTTCCGCGATACCATACTCGCTTTTCAAATGGCGTACCGGACGATGCCGAGATAGAACCTCGTTCGGCCATTATATGGTTTGGGCTTAAAGGATAGCAAGCACGTTGATTCAAGCCACGAAGATAAAATTCTAACTTAGGCGCTAAACAAAAAACGGGAAACGCGCTATATATGGATTTTCTCTACCCTGAAGAAATCAATATCGATCTAGAAGACCTAATATCGCATTAGCCCTATTTCGTCTTTTAGCACGATTGCGTGCTTTTCAAGTCCTGCGATCTAGTGCTTTTTGGGAGTAGTCCTGGCTGCCAAGTCAAAACTATGCAGAGTTCAGCCAATCAGCAGTACGGCGGGAGGATAATTATGGAGAATGCAGTGGAAAGTGCCGAAGCCAAATGTCGCTTCAACTGCCGCGATATCTGATTGGGACGACGGGCGGGATTTAGGGGTCCTGAGGTCTTGGCGCTGAAGTCTTGGCTGTGATAAGGAGAAGAAATGGGTAAGATATGAACAAAAGACAAATGGAAAAGGTTTTTTTATTATTTCATGAAAAAGTCGTTACGTTAGACATTCACACATTTATTTTCCAGCCACCTGCTTGACCGCAGCGATGATATGCTCTGGTCCAAGGCCCTGAGCATTGACTTGCTGGTACAGACCACCGCAGCCCTCCTTGTTAGCACCCAGAGACTTAAACTTGGGGGTCAAATTGCGCTCAAGGAGTTGGGTACCCAGGCGAGAGCCGAGACCAGTCTTCTGCGCAATCGACTCAACAACCAGGACGAATGGCGAGGAGCCATACAACTTGATGGTCTCCTCATCGACAATGTTGAGAGTTGGCTTGTTAATCAGACCAACGTCAAGGCCCTCCGCACGCAGGTTCTCGACGGCATCAAGCGAGCGGTAGAGCATATCACCGTATGAGACGATGTAACCAGCGGAGCCCTTGCGAATGACTTCTTCCTTGCCAGGAACGAACTTGTAGCCCTCTCCAAAGAGCTTCTGGTCGGTGCCCTCCTTCAAGATGTAAGGGACCTTGGAACGAGTGGAGAAGATGAAGCGCAGGCCCTTGTTCCAGAAGACCTCATTGACTACGGCCTTCATCTGCTCGCCATCGGCAGGGAAGTACAGGGTGGTAGTCTCGGCATCCATCAGACCATTATCGGCGAAGAAGTGGTTCAGACCGAAGTGGCAGGTGTTGTCGGCCATCTCGTCGACACCGCTGTGAGAGAAGTGCGACAGGACGGTGCAGTCGTTCAGGCGAGCCATGGTGATCTCGGAGATGCACATCTCCAGGAAGGCAGAGAAGGTAGAGAAGACACCTTGTCTCTCTCCATTGCTGCGGAACCCAAAGCCAGCGGCAGCAGAGAAATTGCCGCGCTCCATGACACCAGATGCGATAAAGGATTCGGGGTGCTTGGCGCTGATAGCCTTCAGGCCGGTGGAGCCTGCCAAGTCGGAGTCAATAACCATGACACGACGCTTAGCCTCCTCCTTGCTCAATTTGTCAAGAATATCATTCACGGCTTCGCCGAAAATGTTGCGGTTCGAGCCCTTGTCTTTGGTCGAACCCTTGTACGTGTGGGGGTTTGAGCCAGGCTTGATATTATCATAGAAAGCAAGCTGCTCCTGGCTATAGCCGCGCCCAGTGAGGTATTTGCGAGCAATGTCGACGGGAATAACATCGTGCGCCTTGCATTGTCCCTCAATTTCCTCAATTCCAGGAGCCATCTTGCGGTTGACAACAACAGCGGCGGGTCCGTCATGGTTGATGACTTCGCACATAGCGCCATATAGGGCGTCGATATTCTCGCCCTGGGCGCTAAGGACCTTCAAGCCATGTCCCTTAAGGTTCCCAGCAACATCAAAGCCCTTGAGGTAATCCGAAGGGTGTCCAGCAATTGTGACATCGTTGTTATCGATGAAGAGCTTCACGTTCAGATTTTTAGCCACGGCAATGCGTGCTGCCTCATCATCGTTTCCTTCTTGCTGGGATCCATCAGAGCCCAACAGAATCACGTTTTTATCCTGGTTGGCCATAGCAATGCCGTTGACCATACCCCACATGTGGCCCAGACGACCGGAGCTAAACTTGATGCCGGGGGTGAGACCGAGCTCGGGGTGGCCGGGAAGGTGGGAGCCAGCAGCACGATATTCCAGCAGGTGATCAGGCTCAATCTTGCCGTCCAGGGCGGCCAGCAAGTATTGTGTGGCGACACGGTGGCCAGCCTCGTCATACAGAGCGTCGACCCATTTGCTGGGGTTCGCGTTTATGAAAGCAAGCAAAATGCAGACTTCTGGTGCTGTATCGAAGGGACCTCCAGTGTGGCCCGAAACTCCACGGGCAGCGCCCGTCGCTGTAAAGGCAATGATGGCATCTCTGAAAATGTTGATGTTGTGTAGCAAGTCGCTCTTTTGCTGGGCTGATAGCTGTGCGGTCTTCGGGTCAAGCTTCAGTTGCTTGAACAGCTTGAGATCGACGGGGAATTTATTGCCGCTCATGATGTAGATTGATTATGCAGGTTATGTCTAGTAGTAGAAGTTTGAAGGAGTAAAATCATTCGGAGGAGGGGTTACATATACGATTAGGACTTGAGTGGCCTGTTCGCAGAATGTTGACGTCATCAACACGGAGTATCTGCAGACGTGACCTGTTTTCAGCACCACACAACCTGCATTCCTCAACATCACCGAAGTTCCACTTACAAGTTCCACTCGTGGCTCTAGATGCTTCGAATTCATTGCACGTTCTCATGGAATGGTTCTCCCGTCCTAGCCGTGGCCCTGCACGTGGCTGCCTTTTAGGGATGGTGATCTCCCCTAAGCCAAGTCTTCCCTGATCGACCTCATTATTTCGACTAGTACGATTGTGAATAGCATCAAAATTGGAGAGCTATATTTATCTTGGTTAATTGAGACGTCTGTACTAAATGTTCTCGTTTTGACCCCTTTGCTCTTTGTTAAGTATTGGACAGCAAAGGAAGTGTTTCCTACGACTTATACACTACTTCTTACACTACTTCTTACTTCTGCTTTGATTACAACTTCCCAAGTTGCCTTGTGGCTGTCACCTCGCCCCTCTCATTCCGGTAATCACCGCTTATACAACGCCCCATCCTATTGTTTCATGCCGCTTCCGGGCAACCCCACCCCGAATAAGCAACATGACCGTTGAGGCAACCCATTATTCAATACTCCGTGGCACAATGGCATTGAAAAAGCCGTCGAGAATGCGGGGAAAGGTATTCCAAGCAACTAACCTGGAAGCAACTACCCTCGAATTAGCAATTTCCCCGAGATAGCCAAGACAATACAAGCTATCGGGGACCCGTCGGTGAAATGTGGCGTGCATTAGTCGGTGATACTGTAGTATTCTTCATCAGCTTATGCCGAAATTGAGCGAAATTCAGGGTCTTAGGCGTTTCAGCGTACTTTCCCCTCGGCCGATTAGTCGCATTGCTCTTTTAGGGAAATGGACGGGTACAGCCTGGACAATATTGTCTTTGATAGGTATATATAAAGACAATGCATGCCTATACCTGATGATCATCAATTCCCACCTCTATCCCTCGAAAGACTGAGACTGGCTTTCCCTAAAATTCTCTTGGGGACCAGTATACAACATGCTTCCATCTTTTCTTCCTCTGCTCCTGCTTTCGGTGCTAGCAGAGGCGTCACCCGGAAAGCGAGCCACCACTGCATCAGCCTACTGTTCAAACTCAAATGGCAATTACAAGCTCTCGTCAATCTCCGCACCCGTTCAAGGCAGCGGCAGTCCAGGCTCCGAATCGACCTGGCAGCTGACCGTCGACGATACATCCAGCGGACACAAACAAACAATCGTGGGCTTCGGAGCAGCCGTCACCGATGCCACAGTTACCTCCTTCAACACCTTGTCCAGTTCCACACTTGAACAACTGCTTAATGAGCTGATGACCGGTGCCGGTGCTGGATTCGCCTTGATGCGCCATACCATTGGCGCTTCCGACCTGTCTGGTGACCCTGCGTATACCTATGATGATAATGGGAATAATGCAGACCCATCTATGTCCGGTTTTAACCTGGGCGACCGTGGAAGCGCCATGGCTACGATGCTGGCTAAGATGAAGTCTCTTCAGTCGAATTTGAAAACTCTTGGTTCGCCTTGGAGTGCCCCCGGGTGGATGAAGCTGAACGGTGTGATCGATGGCGCCACGAATAACAATAACCTCAATGATGGCTACTTGACCAGTGGAGGCACTGGGAGTACTGGGTATGCTAGTGCCTTTGCGCAGTACTTTGTCAAGTACATCCAGGCTTACGCGAATCTCGGCGCCCACATCGATGCGATTACCATTCAAAACGAGCCTCTGAACAGCCAAGCTGGATATCCTACAATGTATGTGTTTGACTATGAGTCTGCACAGTTGATTCAAAATTATGTCGGACCGGCTCTCGCTCAAGCCGGCCTGAGCACCGATATCTGGGCATATGATCACAACACTGGTATGTACTTGACAATACGGGATCTTTGAGGGAGGATTCTATTTACTAACGCATAGACACTAGATGTTCCATCCTATCCTCAGACTGTCATCAATGGGGCTAGCCAGTATGTCCACGGAGTTGCATGGCACTGTTATGCCAGCAACGTAGACTGGACAGTCCTTACCCAATTCCACGAGACAAAACCCAACGTCAATCAATATATGACAGAATGCTGGACTCCCGCGTCCGCAGCATGGAACCAAGCCGCCGATTTCACCATGGGGCCTTTGCAGAATTGGGCATCGGGCGTCACTGCCTGGACACTTGGCACAAATGATCAAGATGGTCCTCATCTGTCGAGTGGCGGCTGTGCAACCTGTCAAGGTCTGGTAACCATTGCCAACGGCGGATATACTTTCAACCCGGCATACTACATGATGGCTCAGTTCAGCAAGTTCATGCCGCCGGGTGCCATTGTGCTAAGTGGTACCGGGAGCTACACATATTCCAATGGAGGTGGTGTGCAATCCGTTGCTTCGCTGAACCCGGATGGAACTCGTACTGTTGTTATTGAGAACACGTTCAGTAACGATATTTATATTCTTTTGTCCACTAACAGTGGCCAGGAGTGGAGTGGCAATGTTCCGAGCCAGTCTGTGACAACCTGGGTGCTTCCCGCGGCCTGAGTGAGATGATTGTGACTGGGATGCGAGAATATTCAAGAATTAGCTGTGATCACATACTTGCATCTTCGATCAACACGAGCTATCCAGTTCCTCCCACTCAAGATAGACTGAATATTATGGATTCACTTCAAGCTAGGAGATATCAATCTCGTAGCGCATGCGTAGTGAGTGCAATGAGACCGTCACAGGCGGTCAACCCCCTCACATTGTTCCCAATCTCATTCCCGAGGGTTTCTTCTTCTTCTTCTTCTTATTAGCCGCAAGCTACAGAGTACTCTGTAGATAATTTAGACTGACCATGCGACCTATTCGACTTTGCTTTTGTCCCAAAATGGCCATGCAGTCCACGCCGGAATAAGCCGACAATCCCTCAGATTATGATAACATCCAGCCTTGCGCGGCCGTGCAGAGCTACCATTGAATGCATACGGACCCCAGCAGCCCTGGACGTAAGCTGATCTCACACGAATCTCCATAGCTTTTGTCGATCTTTTTCTTAGATCTATTTTACAGAAAACATGTAGAACTTGGAAGATCTCTATAAATAGATCCTTCCATTTGCGCCGCCGCAAACTACTGTTTTATTCCCATGATCGGTAATAAAGAATAAAGATCGAGGTCATAGCAGTGGAATAAAGCTCTTTGCAAGCTGTTACATTATTTGAGCTCTCTCAATCGGGTAAGTGTACTTTTTTGGGATTCCCTATCAATTTCATATGGATCGGCAGTGCAGCTGCCATGTATAATTCTCTCACTACATCTGGGCATCACATATGCAGGTGTCCGTTGTTTGTGTTATCTCCATGGCTGGTATTGATGCATTCAAAGATCTGACTCATAGAGTCCGTTGCTTTTTTTGCAGATCACTCGTATAAGACGGCTATGACTTTTCTTTTCGACAATGTGATTCCACCACACGGCTGCAGGCAGCTTCCCTGATCCCCGATTCACGGGAAGAAAAACATGCTTTTCTTTCAAATTCTTTATGCTATAGATAATTTCGTGTTATGGGTATTTAATCCTTGAGTTGTATACTCCGTATGGTCTTGAAAGTTCTAAATATCTCTACAAGTCAGGTATCAGTCATTCAAAGGGGTCTAATGGGAACTTGCAGCGCAAGGCCCAGCCCAATCTCAATTACGATTCAGACCTCGGGACACCCGGGATCAATCAAAATCATTTAGTCGAAGAGAGCAGAAAATAGGTAGGGTGCCATGTAGAGCATGGCCAAGAAAATACAAAATATACATTTCAAAAAAGCAAAAAGCCTACCGAGCACTCAGTTGGGCTTACTACTTGATGATCCCAAGATAGCCGTCCGTTCACTTTAGAATCTGAAGATCTGTGTCTACTGGTATCTACCAATGCCAACTCTACCCTCAGTATCGCCAAGGCTGACATATACGTAAAACTCGAGGATTATTGCTAGTAATCTGAACTGAAGGATTGCATATTGACCTTGCCAGCATTATAGTAGAAGACCACATATTTTGAATCACTAAATTCAAGATATAAAAGTCTGCGGGTGGTCATCAACCTTGGTCGGTCAAATCTAACTCCAATTAATACCTGAAGGCCAATACACCCTTCTAGCACTCAGAACTGTCAATTCCTTTCCAAAATGAAACTATTTGTCCAAGGCACTGCAATCCTGGCCCTTCTTATTGCCAATGCATCGGCCACACAGAGTGGCATTTTTGCCGCAAATGGCGTCGAGCTCGAAGTTTACCAATCTGGCGAGGATATCATCTACGGAGAGCCAGTGAGTCTTTATCCTTTGAACCTACTATATGTGGTAACTAACTCCATACAGCAAAGCTTAGTCCAGGTACATTACCGACTAACCCCCATTGTGAAACAAGGTCATTATTTAACATGTTCATTTTAGGCGAGAGATCTTGAGGGCCGAAAAACCAATGCGTGCACCAAATGTGTGGGCCACCATGGAAGCTGTGTTGTAGGCGAGGGTAACTGCTATGCTCCCGATACATGTGCGTTCTGTGGTGGTTGTTCTGTCAACCAGGCTCGTTGCCAGAACCCCAAGAAGGAAGGCTGCCAGTGCTATAAATGATCATTTGAGTGGATCAAGCACGAACTCGGCAAATCGGGGTTTCGCCTTCGCTCAGCTTAGTGCTGCTTGGTTTCTCTACTGGCAGTAAAGGACTCATATAGTTCTTTCCTCTCTTGTCAATAATCTTCGCTTTTCAATACACTCATACTCAATTGATTCATGCTGTATGGTCTCATCTACTATCATCCACTAGTACATTAAATAAATTCATAAACCTCCATTTCTAGAGAGGAGTGATTTCAATCAATCTATGCCAAAGATTCGTATTCTACTATCGAGCCTAGATTAAATAATGAAAGCTTCACCCAAATATATACTCCCACCACCCTTTTTTCCACGTTCGCCCAAACCGATGATTGACACATGCGTCAGGATGATTAAACCCTCCCGCCTCACTATGTCTCTGCCCATTCCCCCAAACACTGATTGGCAACACACACAATCCACCCATGGATTCATTCGGGACAGCCTCACCAGCCTGAATGCATACAGGGTCACGGAGTCTATGAAACGGAGCCCACGTTACCCGTTTCTCCAGCTCCCCAGTCTCAGCAGAGATTAGATCCCCTATATCTGCATCTGCGTCGACAGATTTTTGAATGAACGGATGAGTCGAAGGAAGCGAGGAGGAAAGTGTGTCAAGAATCGCATCCGTGAAGACATCAGGCCCCGTGACTCCTAATATAGTCTTCTCGTCATACGCCAGACTGGGGAAGAAGCTGGTATGTTCTCCATTGTATTGCCTAGTATGTGCCAGGACCCGCACGATGGTTTCGCGGAGAAGCGGGCTGAAGCGTCGTGGGGCATACATCGTATACTGGATCAGTCCGTAGCTCCTTGTCCAGTGCCAGTCGCGCATGAATTCCGGTGAAGCGTATGGCTCGTCGACCTCGATTCCAACTACGAGCGATATATCGGGATGGGTACTTTTTGTGTATCCGTCTGGTGTAAGTGCGAAGAAAGGCTCTAGTGCTGGGCATGCTTTGATGCTCCGAGCGGGGAAGACATCGATGTCTGCGTAGAAGCCTCCGTAGTACCAGAGAAGGAGGTATCTGAGGAGGTCTGCTCGGAGGATATTTTGAGGGTAGGATTTGTATATGGTTGCGATTTCGGGGATGGCGGACAGCTCGTTGGTCAAAAACTCGACGGCCTTTTTATCAGTGACTAACTTTGTGGTTTCAGTCAAAGTCGAGCAAGGATCCGGCCAAAGTACTTACTGTGTATATCCAGTCCTTATTTTTCCCTTTAAATACTATTGAGTCTTCCCCCCTATCCTTTTGACTTTTCGCTATCTGCCAGATTCTATCTTTGGATATGTTGCTTTCCTCACTTTGTGTCAATACGGCTTTTTCAATCTCTTCCAGCGCATTTGATAGCTGTTGTTCGTATTGAACATTCGGATCGTTTCGAAAGGGAGAGCGGTAGATAAATCGGGCCGTGTCCTCTACTCGATGCTCTGGGGGTGGTCGGTCTGCCCGGGTATTGTTCTGGGTGGAAGGCGGAGCTGGAAGATGATAAAAGAGGAACCATATCAGGATAACAAATAATATACAAGATCCACGACGAGTAAAGTATCTAGATGCCTGCACCTTGATTCTTCTGAGGCTCATGATGGTAGTGGTAGTGAGGGAAACCGCAAAAGAAAGCGGGAGTTGAAGGGTGGTTCGAGGAAGATTGGAATAAGTCACTGCTAACTCATACAGAGAAATAACATAGAGAGCAAGCTTAAAGATTGTATGTTTGAAGTGACTGTCATGGAATATGGCAAGGGTAAAAGAGAAAGGGAAAAGGGAAAGGAGAAATCAAAATAGCAAACAAAAGGAAAACTGTATCAGGCCAAGGATTGAGTATATGACTAGAGCCCCTGGGTTTTATGCAGCCTTTGACACATTTCAGCATCAAAGCCTCGACGTTGTCTCCAATCTCCCTTAAAAATATAAACCACTTTGCGGCCTGATTCTCTTTGTTTGAAAAAGGCCCACTTCGCGTCGATCCTCCAGCGCCATACAAGGATATCCCTGTTGGAATTCACATCGCACGCACTTATTCGCCTCTACCAGGACTACGTTGTACTTTTGTGAATCATACCTTTCTCCTACTTCCCAGGGCGTGTTAGGTATTTCTTAAATCCTCTGTCTGCCCGCTTATAAACCACCTTTGGGCTTTCCGTCTTCACTGCATAGGTACTTCTCGACAAATTCGGAAATGGGGGCTAATAAGTGAAAGAGAAAAGATGTCGGTCGATTCCTACAGCTCGCTAAGGAAGAAGGCCTCGATCACGTGGCTGATTGCCCCCTGTCTCCTTCCCGTTTCTCACTTCTCCTCCGAGTAGACACGGATTTGTATATTTTCTTGTCCTTCTTGTTAGGGATATCCAACGTCGATTTTCTAGTGTGCACTGGATCTGGGGAGGAGGCATCTCTCCTTCGTCTATGAGGCTCATCCTCTAATCGTGGTCAAGGTTCCTAAGTCCGGCGAGGAAGAGAGAGAGCAATTTCGCAAAGAACTCAAAATCTACAAGATTATATCCCGGCATCCACCATGTCCCTCCATAGTGCAGTGTTTCCTCTATACACTTTACAAGGCACTGATCTCTTATGCACCCAGGGATGAACGATCTTGCTCAAAGTGTTGCTTTTCTCGCATCGCTTAACCTCGCTCATGGTGACTTGCGACCAGAGAACATCCTACTTGATCGTAACCGACTAAACTGTCGGATTTTGATTGCACAGCCGAGTTTGCAACAGATTTCGAAACTTGCCCTTGTCCGTGAGGAAGACTAATTAATAGTAACGAAGCAGACCAAGGAATGGCAGGAACTGCCGGCTTTCTAGGTTCTCGAACAGAGCAGTTCGCCCTCGGTTCGCTATACTATTTGATCAACTATGGATTTGAGGTTTATGGCAATCAATGTCTTGGCGATGATCCTTACGAGTATGGACCCAAGGTCATGGACTTACTCCAGGACATGAAATTTTCCGAAGCTCGATCATGATCCGCTGATTGACGATATCATCGACAAGTGCTGGCACAACCAATATCGCACGCTTACGGAATTGATCACACATACGGAGGCGTTACTTAAGGAACCAATCAGCAAAGCACACAACCACGAAGCAGCCTCCAACCTCGAGGGCCAATTGTGGACTAACTGCGAGATAATCAATAGTGACGGCAATTACAGTGTGGATCGGGACCACTCCTCTGAGCCTTTCTCTTCGGAAAAGTATTTCTGCCAAGACTTGGAGAAGCGGACTCCTTCGCCTACTTATTTCGGGTAAGCCCATGGAGCTTGGATTCAATATGGAACATATGCACGTGCTATCAAATACACCGACGAATTGAGAGGGACATGAGACTACTATGGGAGGACCTTGGGGATTTCGAATTCTGTTTTTGGCTGGGGCTGGTTGATAGTAATTCAAGTGTATATAAGCTAGCACTCGGAGTGGCTAGGCCCAGAGAAGGCTTACTTGACATGATGTATTGGATTTGTGAACGGAGCAGCATGCAGGAGCAGCATGCATCTCGTGAAATGCTACAGGATGCCCTTGGAGAAGAAAAAGAGACTGGGCAAGGTCATTTGATCGAAGGGTACGGTATTGAGCCGCTAAACCGGAAGCGGTAAAGCTAACCTGAAAAAGGCAATTCACAGAGAATTCATTGGTCCGCCGTTACAATACAATACGCCAACTCATACAGTCACACCGCAAAAAGGTCAACACCTCGGTTGATATTCTACTCCGTACTGGTAATTGTTGTACGGAGTACTAGCAATTCGATTCTCTACTAGTCGAAATTTGGAAACAACGGCCAGTATATCCGTATCAGAAAGCAATAAAAATATGAGTCAACACTTTTTCTGAGTCACTGTCAGCAGATACAAAAATACCAAAACCCCCCCGCACTTCCCAGGGTGGCTAAGTGGATATTCACATTTAAAGTGGTGTACCCCTGTTCATGAATCACGTGATCTTGAAGCCATTTTGCGGGGAAACGACTGATTGAATTCTAAGCATGTAGTCCTCCGTGGGAAGGGCGAATTAAGATTTGAAAGATGAAAGCTATATACACCTGTCTCCTCCCGAGGTTCTGCCGAATCAATAAGGAACTAGAAGTGCAAAGTGAAAATTTAATAAACTAAAGAAACTAAAAAAACTAAAATCGCGGAATGCATATCGGCGCCGAGATCGGGGCCTCGATCGTCCGGGGATATCTCCAGGGATGATTCGCCCTGTGACTCGAATCTTTTTAAGTCGCCAGGATTGACCACTCGCTTTTTCAGCTTTGCTTTTCCTCTCCGTAACTCCGGAAGTTACCCCACGTTTGAGACTCGGCATCGAGCGTAGCACCTCGGTAACATCCCTGCATTGGCGAGCTGCGCTTGGGAATTCGAGCCTTAAAAGTCAAAATTTCCCTTTTCCCTTCCATCATCCCCATTATTATTGTCCTTCCAAGCAGGCGCGCAGTGTCCTAGTGCGATTCGCATCTCACAATGGGTGTCACAGGTATGTTCAATCCTATACATATACCCCGTCCTTGTTAGGGTTTGGCCAATTCGCGCTTGCGCTAGCACATCCTTGTCAACACATGCTGACCGTAAGGTACTCCCCCCGCGCAGAATCACCCCGCTATAGCAAAGAGCACATCGACGCGGCCGAAAGTCAGGTCAGCTCCCACACGGACGGCGATCTGCCTCCTCTCACGACTACCACCGCGCGCAAGTTGCAAGCCAAGGTCGATTGGCACATCCTACCCTGTCTGTGCATTTTGTATCTGCTTGCCTTTTTGGATCGGTAAGCTGACCATTGTGTATCTGTGTGACCAGGTGTTGCTTATATCTGACATCATCGACCTGCAGAGTTAATATTAGCAATGCTGCTATTCTCGGACTCAAGAAGGATTTGGACATCGTCGATGGAACGAAATATAACACCGCGCTCACAATTTTCTTCGTTCCGTATATTATCTTTGAGATTCCGTCAAACATCTTGCTCAAGAAGTTGAAGCCCCATGTCTGGCGTAAGTGTTTTGGTCCCTTTGCGCCCTTGGTTTAGGGGCAATTGGTGAGGGCGACTTGCTAATTCGGAATTAGTGTCGGCATGCATGTTCATGTTTGGCTTGACCTTGCTCTTCCAGGGTCTGGTAAAGAACTGGGGTGGACTGATGGCCACTCGGTTCTTTTTGGGTGTCTTTGAGACGGGCATGTTCCCTGGATGTAAGAGCAAATACCAACAGTACATCCTAAGACAGGTGCTAATTGTGATCGCCAGGCTTCTATTTGTTGGGCATGTGGTACACACGCTCTGAGGCTCAAAAGCGTTTCAGTTTCTTCTTCAGCTCCACTTCCCTGGCCGGCGCCTTCGGTGGTCTGCTTGCCAGTGGAATTGCAAAGATGGACGGCATGCGTGGCTACAGTGGCTGGCGCTGGGTGTTCATTATCGAGGGCGTCTTGACCAGTGTGGTCGCGATCATCCTGTTCTTTTTCATTGCTGATTTCCCCGAGGATGTCAAGTGGCTGAATGAGGAAGAGCGCACATACATGCGTGCCAAGTTGGCCAAGGATGTCGGCAAGGCTGCTCACAACGTTCACTTGGGCAAGCGTGAGGTCCTCGGTGTGTTCAAAGACTGTAAGTATAGCCCGAGAATCCCTGTTGCATTCATTTGCAGTGCACTGACTTTTCCCAGACAAGGTCTTTATCGGAGGATTCATGTACTTCGGTTTGATTGTCCCGGCTTACGGTACGTAAAACATTTCCATCTTCCGTTAAGCGAATTATTGCTCACTCTCATACAGGATATGCATACTTCGCGCCGTCGATTATCCAGACCTACGGCTATAGTTCGATCAAAACACAACTGTACTCCATTCCTCCCTGGGCTGCAGCATTCGGCTTCTCAATGATAGTCGCCTTTTGCTCTGACCGAATGCGACACCGATTCGCTTTCACCTTGATTCCAATGGCGATCGCCCTTGTCGGATTTATTATGCTCATGACAATCCACAACAATACTCATGCGCAATATGGCGCTCTGTTCCTGCTCACCTCTGGCTGTTACAGCGCCATGCCGGTCATTGTATGCTGGTTTGCCATGAATTTGGGTGGTCATCATCGACGCAGCGTGGGAACCGCATGGCAGGTTGGCTTCGGCAACATCGGTGGAATCATCGCTACTTTTTCTTTTGTTGTAAAGAATGGTGTCACGGATTTCCGAACCGGGTATATCATATGCCTCTCATTCATTTGCCTCGCAGCTCTGGCATGCACGAGCTACATGGCATCCCTGTGGTATGAGAACAGAAAACGTGACCGTGCCGCGGTTGATCCTGCTACGATTCCCGACGACGAAGAGGAATATCTCGGCGACTTGGCGCCCACATATCGGTACACGTACTGAGAAAATATCCAGTTTGGATAGCTACTTTCGTATGGCGGACATTTTCTCATTTTAATTTTGTGGATCTCGCCGTGCGGATCTTGCAAACTCCATGAGTGATGACGATTCTGGTATATTTCTTTAACGAACATACGGTTGGCTATAATTGGGAAACATTCGCATCAAAAGTCTTGATTTCGGAGCTATATGATGGTTACTTGATATACTATTC